ACTCACAGAGTCCCGCCGTTGACGCCCGGTCCTTGCTGATGTCTGGAATGCGACCTCCTAAGTACCTCGACAAAGAGGACGTGGATGGCATTTTCCGGAAACTCCATGACTCGCTCCGAGACGAGGTTCTTGACGGCAAATACCTTGACACTGTTGACCACAATGTGGAAGAGTGGGTCGCAAAGGCGATCTTGGTAAGGGGTCTTGCTTTCAATGGGAACACCGTCTCCGACTTCTTCGAAGAATATGAAGGGTATGCGGCTGAGTGGGGCAGACGCCTAACCACCGCGAACTTCAACGCCAACCGCTGCGGCTTTTACACGTCATACTACATGGTCGAAGCTCATATCATTGGGCTGAGATCCGGGCATCTTTCTCCGATACTCCCGAATGATGTGTCCGGGGAGACGTTCAAGGCCCAGGTGGAGTTACTCGCCAAGCACTGTGGGGTAATGCAAGCCATGCGGAGGAAGGCCGGCTTTGATCCCGCCGCGCGTCTCAAGCAGGCTATGGACACGGTGCGGGAAGGCGTAAAGAAGGGCTACGCCTACACGCTCAACGACCTCAGCAGTATGGATGAACTGATCTACCGGACGTCCACCGTTGCCTACGACACATGCTTGGCCGACCGTCCGCAAACCCAGGACGACATCAAACAGGAGCTGGCCGATCCTACACCCAGGAAATACCGCTTCCGACCCCGCGATCGCCATCGACCCGGGATCCGCCTTACACCAGGCCCCGGCGTGAAAGACGAGGAAGAGCCCGACTTCGCTGGATCTCAGGAGGATGAGCTGGGATCGGATGGATCTTCGCACGAAGACGATGAGAAGCCTGAGGACCTTGACGAGCCCATGGACGACGATGAGGAGGAGATCCCTCCTCCTCCGCCACCGCCCCCGGCTCCTCCCGCGCCGCCTGTCCCGGTAGAACCGGAGACCCCCGTGGTGTCCCACACAGGCATCGGTTCTGGCGGGTCTGTACCTGTTCCTCCTCCTCCTCCTCCCGCTCCTATTGCTACGAGGCGTCACAACGGCTAGGGATCCGTTTGAGGAAGAGGACGTGGCCGTCAATACTCGTGTCCCTGACACCGAGTCCGAGCTGGAGGCTGACGTCGATCAACCCAAGGCCAGGAAAACATCTCGTGGTCGGGTCCCCGCGCCCGAGAAAGGGCAGGGGGGCGTTCACATCCCGCCTGGCGGGCAACCAAGCTCCAAGAGCATGGCCCAGCCTGCCCGTCCATCCCCGGTCCCCGCGAGAAGCGGTGCGGAAGAAGGGGAGAGAAGGGGCAGGACCAAGGGGTTCTACGCCCAGAAGGATCTTTTACCGGCGAGGAAGCGACTCCCCGGGTTCGTCTTCGGTCTGGCGGTCCCGGAACTCCTGCGTCCCCACCACGGGATGCCACTGGTTCCTTGGGCGGCCGTAGCGGCTATGACCCGCGCGATAATGACGACGGAGAATGGGAACTTCCTCCGGGCGTGCCTCGGACCACTCGTGCGACCGATGAGTTGCGACCCCACCGAGATGACGATCGATCAAGGACCGCGCTTGGGGCTCGCGGGGATCGTCGCGGCCCTAAGGGTGAGGCGAAGGGTCGAGGAAAACACCGACCTGGTAAAGATGGACGCGAGGATCCTGGCCCGCCCCGACAAAGGGATGATCGTGGCAGGGATACCCGCGGAGGCCGACGCGATGATCGCCGACCTCCTCCACGCCGTGAGGAGCCCTCCGAGAGGCGCGGTCCGGGGCGAGATGAGCGCCGCGGACGTGATGGCCCCGCCGATGACCGTCGCGATCGCCACAGAGACCGGCGCAGGGATGACCGACGTCACCAATCGGATCCCCCTCCGCCTCGCCGACCCCCGGCTGGCGACCGCAGTAGAGATGATGATGAGGATCGCCGTCGGGATGGAGGAGGCGGCCGAGGTGACCGCGGTGGACGTCGGAGAGATGACGCGCCCAGAGACCGGGAAGAACCCGGTTCAGGGTGGTAGGCAGGTACCGCAATCATCATCCGCCTTAGAAGGGCGAGGATGGCGCACATGTCGCCGAAAAAGGCGACTGCACCGGTTCTCTTCCCGCCCATGCGGCGCTGCTGGGGGTGATGATCGCCATTGCCCCGTACCGCTAATCCGGCGTTGTTTGTGTCCCTCCCGCACCGCTGCCGTGCGCGCTGGAGACGGTTCCCCTGGTGATCCTGTGTGAGGCTGTGACCGCACTAGAAGTGCCGGCCCGGCCGTAGCCGGATTTTTTCTCACCAATTTCGGAGTATCTCTATCTTTTTATTCCTCCCAACTCGGTACCACCTCCAACCACGTTGTGACATGCTGTGAGGCGCGGTGATCCAGATAGGGTCCCCCTCCGGGTGTTACTGTCCCATGACAATACATGAACGGCGCGAGAGGAATCTTCGTCTGGATCCTCCAATATGTCCTTGTTCACTCATGTGGCCCATTCGTCAAATAATCCTGTCGCCCCGCTAATTCGGGGTGGTGGCGGGATTTTAACTGGGGCCCAGGTGCTGCCGTTTGGCTCACCTCTGAGTGGACACTGGCATTTTTGGTTGGTTCCTTTCGTCGCGAACTCAACTGTCTTGCATCCTTTCTCTCGTCCAGATATCGGATGAGGGGTGTGTGTTTCGTTCACGTGTTGTTTCTTCATATGCGAATCGGCCGAATGGCCGTTTGGCACAAGATTTCAACCTCCCGTCAGGGCAATCTCGGACCCACGTGCACCCGCCATAACACGGCGGCGCTCTTCGACCCCGAGGTGAAAACCGTGGGGCTGCGGGGCGCCGGTGTTAGGAGGTAGGTGGTCGGTCGTCGAGGTCATCCTGGGCTTGATTGACTTCTCTACTTTTGCAACCTATTTCCCAACCTCCCCAAACACCTTCTTTTCCACCGTCACATCCTCAACCCGGTCATCATCCACAGCTTCACCCGAGTTGTGTTTCCGGGTGCTTTGGGCACATTGTGATCTACCTTGTGCTCATTTGCTTCCCTGCGCTACTTCGTGTTCGCCCAAAACCGCACTTTGCAAGTAACATCACCATCGTCTGCAGTCGGCCTTTCTTGTGACATTGATCACTGTAGCACAGCATGGCTTCTTTGTCGCGCGTTTTTGTTTCAGCCGGCAGGGCTCTGCGTTTTTGTCTTAGGGCAAGTGTGATATGGCGGTTTCGCAGCATTGTTGTGACTTCTTCCTTTGCGCACGCAATTCGCAGACCGCATCGTAAGTGCTTCGCGGTTGCCCTTTCTTATCATGCTGATCATGCCAGAGCAGCAGTGCTTGATATTTCCTACGAACGGACAGCGTTTGTGCTTGTTTCAACCAGTAGCGTTTCGTGCTCATGTCTTTGGAATCGCCCGTGAGCGAGGGGCGCGTTTGACGCAGCGCTGACGTGCCCCCATCTTTTCTGCGCACGATCTGCAGAGGGACCTAACTCTAGCTCACCCCACTCACGGACGGCGATTGTTCTTTGCTTCTGCCTGTTTCGCATTCCTGTTGTTGGAAAGCACGCTAAGACGAACCCATGCTGCATGTGAAAAAAACCGGGTCGTGCCGCGTTGCCAACGTCCCCATAGCCAAAATGAAGTGTCATGTTACTGTAATGTTAGGGACATGCTGGCGCCTTGTTGGTGTTATGTTTGGACACGTGCTGGCTTCGGCTGCGGCCAAGAGCAACGATTGGAACCTATTCCCCGCGTGATCTGACTTCGGACTTCCGGTCCTTTTGGGGCTCAGATCAGCACCATCTTCGAACGAGACATCAAGCCCGAAGCAAATGGTTGGAGGTCCTGCCTCAAAACTACGCGGCAGTTGGTAGGAGGTCCGGGAATCGTGCGCTGCCACTCCTTGAGATGGAGAATTGCGCGGCGTTTTGAATATCCTCCACTAGCCTATTAGTTTAGACGAAAGCAAGCGGAATCTGATGGCATTTATTTGTTCGAGATGATTTCTCTCGGTCTGACCTCAAGAAACCTTTTGAACAGGGGCCTTGACCATGGTGATGGGTAGAAGCATGACGTCAATTAAGGGTCATCAAACTTTCTGGTTGCATGCTGTGCGAACAGTAGACCGAATCAAGGGTTGGCCTCTCTCCAAGCAAACAGTCGCGATAGCCCAAGCACCTGGTACCAGCTTGGTGTTTCGCATCGATCCCACCGATCTTGGATTGCGGAAGTGGGAGGCTGACCCCTACCAGCTGATGTTGTATACCCCACCAAAGGAAAGTGCATACACTCCGACAGGTCTTACCACTGCCAATCAGACTCTTCAGTTCAACCCTGGGCAGTAGATAGCGCCATGGACAACCGGACTGCCGTCCATAACCTTTGCTTATCATCCATGTCCTTCCTATACAGATTTCTCCATCCAGAACCTTTATTGCCAGTGGCTGTGGCCACGGAGGGTTGGGCCGAATTGAGCGAAGACGCCCAAGACCGCCATTGCCCAATCTAGCCGTACTTGGTTTTGTGCGCGTCGTGTTGGCCAGGGCGTGCTTGCGTATCATCGCCCCAAGCTGTGCGTTTTGCCAGGGTACCCTTTTTGCATTTAAGGAAAGGACCCAAAAAGCGCGGTGCTCAGTTGGCAGAAGGCTGACGAGTCGAAAAGTCACGCAGGGTTGGGTAGCAGTTTGCTTAAACACCCCACGGGTCACTTTGGCAGCAAGCCAAAAGGATGTAGGGGGTTGGCCCAACCGTATAGCTGTAGAGTTTCATGAAAGAGGAACGCTTGTAGAGTTTCCTGTAAGAGGAACGCTGGCCCAATGGCAAACCACTCCAATCTCTAGCCGAATTTTGAAGGATTGTGTGTTGAAGCCAGCTATTCTGCAGGATGCTTCTTTTCAAGAGCACGCAATAGTGGGAGGGGGGGTCCAGACAGGAGGGATTTGGAAGGCCATTTTCCTTTTGTGGAAGCCCCCCCATTCACTTCCATGGGAAAGAAGGAAATCATCTCCACGCTCCTTACCAAACAAGCTCGATGCAAGCGCAGCCGGAAGGCCTGGCGACAGCGACAGGCGCATGGCGGACGGTGGGAGCTTGGTCGGATGGGCGCTTGTGAAGCCGTTTGTCCAAGAGGCTTTTGGCCTCAGTAAGTATCACAAGATTCAGCATTCCCTCACGAAGCGGGATTGCGACCTCACTCATACAGGTGTTGCGCTGGCAAGCTCCGAGAGTGGGCCGTTGTTATTTCCTTGTGTGTCCCGTGTCGAGGGGCGTTGATTGGCAACTGTTTTCGTTCGATGTGAAGGGCGCGCGTAGGACCCTCCGTTTTGCCATTGCAAGCCTCGTCAGCGTACTGGTACGGAGGCTATCGCGCGTTTCACTCTGAGACACGCGTTTGATTGCTCCTTTTCTCGTTCCAAGTGCTGAGTTTCATGGCAGATGGGGACGAGCGTCAGCTATTTGGGCTGAGGGGAGACTTGTAGAGGTCCGGCAGAGCAAAGCAGTGTGATGCTCAAGGCAAGCCATGAGAAACCGCCAGCCAGCTCGTTTGTACTCAATGGTAGTCCCCGTTTTCCCTTGCGCAGCCCTAAACCAATTCACTTCCAGCCCACAACCAACAGAAGGCTGGATGCCATAAATAGATAAACAAACAAGTAAATACATAGATAAACATATAAATAAGTATACTATATATATAATATATATATATATATATCACAAACCTGATGATTCCCAGCTTGCAAGCTTGCGGTGCGTCGGGTATTATAAAGACATTGCGTGGAGGTCCGAAGACAATTGGATTTTTTGCGAAGGTCAGCCTGTCTCAACGTGGGATGTTTGCCGTTTGGATTTTGCTACATCCCAAGGCCCGCCTGACCCGGATCTCTGAGCAGAAAATGCCTTTCCCCACAAGCGTTCCATGAATTAGCAAGACTCAAGTTGGGGTCCGATCTGTGCGATTTCGATGCTGCCGCGCAGTTCGACGCCGCCCTTGATGCTGGAGGCTGCTCTGTGGCGATCAAAGTTCCCATCATACAAAACAACAAGTGGATATGTGTTTGTGTGCACTTTTTGTCGAGGATTCCCTCTTAGGGAAACCAACATTTTGTTTGGGGGGGCGTCCCAAGTTTTGACATATACCCACATGCTCATTGAGTCGTCGACCCTCTCGGGAAACTGGACAACCATCCGTAGCCCGACTCGGGAAACCAGGTCCACCCGCAAGGAGCTGTGACAGGGGCTCATTTGGCGACAACGCAATACTAGGCTACTTGGGATTGGGGGAGTTTGGGCCAACATCAACTGCGAAGCTGCACACATGGGGAGGACTGCATTTTGCGAAGTTGTTGAATTTGAGCAGGAGTTCCTGTGATGACTGAGACGATTCACAAAGCAGCTGTTGATTCACTGTGGCGAATTGTCGCAATCTACGAAGAGAGTTCCTATTCAGTCGACATCTTCAAGTAAGTCAAGGAAAACCGGCAATGATCTCCGTGACTTCACAGCAAGACACTCATTTAAACTCTGATGACATTTCTTGGGCGCCCTCCATACATACTCCCTCCTCGTCCTTAAAGCCCTTCCCATGGATTTTGTTTTCTTTCCATGGTGTGTTTGTGAGTGAGGGGCACCCAAAACGGGGTCTGGGTTTCCCAAACCCTTGAACCCACCCCAGGAAGGATATTCCGACCAACCCCCCCCAAAGAAAAAAGAGAGATCAAACATGATATTGGGCAAAATCTGCGCGGCTGAGAATCTCTTCTATTGGGCTTCTGGGCTGACGGGAGGTCTTCTGCAAACAAGATAGTGGATGACGGTTCAATAGCCAAAAGTAGATGCAGTATCTTGCGATCTTCGATTTGTTTCATTACTTGTTTGGTCTGCATTGATTCCGTCTTAAGTGCCTCGTCTCATGGAATTTCGCTTGTTTCATCCTCGAAGTTTGGGTCTGACGCCGTCACAGATCGGTTCGCAGGTGGCAGCGCTGCGGGCGGAGGCGCTGCAGCTGCGGCGCCTTGCGGAGCAACAGCACCAGCAGGCTGGAGCTTGGCAAAGGGTCCGTTTTTTCCTCTCTTTTTTTTTTTTTGGGGGGGGGGGTGGGGGGGGTTTTTTTTTTTTGTTCTTCCTTTTTTTTTTTCTATTAAGGAAACCAGAAGGACAGCGACCTTTTGGGAGGTCCCCCCACTTTTTTGTGTGGGAGTTTCGTCAGACATGGGGGGTGAATTTTCAATGGAGTTGGTGTTGTTGTGTGTACTATGTTTGAGCGTTTGAGCATGTTCCATATTAACATTCATAGCCACACGCGTTTCTTTGCGTTTAGTCCCTAGCTTCCACTTTGGTTGGAACCCAACCATTTCAACAAGTAGGACCATCTCATATGTGCCGTGTTCAAAAAACCCTTTTGGGCTTAGTGCGGACGGTCATCAACCTCTCAATAGGGGGTTTTGAGAGCCATAACGAGGATTCTGAAGGGACCCATGAACCAATATAGGTATTCAATAGAATCATGATCCCCTAAAATGGTTGGTGGGGGGCCTTATGGGACTACTAGCAACCAACACCCGGTTTCGCCACTTTGAACCCCCACGTGTGTTTCTGAGGATGTGGGGTGGAAACCACATTTTTTTTGGGGTCTCCTATAGTTACGAATAATGCCAGTAGTGACTAGGGGCTATGAAGGACCATCAAGGACCATAACCCTCTCATGGCTTCCTTTGCAATCTGGATCAGCATTGGCAAAAGAGGGAACAAACGTAGAACCCAACAAAGGTCCAACGCAATGGCACTAGGATGGAGTGGGGGGTCAGACCTATGGGTGTTGCGTGATCAGCCCTTACTCGACAGCTAGCGTTTTTTCTCTCCAAGGCTGACCGTTTTTGTTTGTTTGTTTCACATTGGGCCAAGACCTGATCGAGCTGTTTGAGCCCGATTTGAAAGAACCGGCGTGCCGGACAGAGCACTGGGGCCCGGGTGCATCCAGATCAGTCCTTACGACTAGACGCTGCGTGGTTGGTCAGGCCGAATGTGCCAGATCTTTGCCAAGTGGCTCTCCTTTTCCCCCTGCTCATGTTCAACTCTTTGAACTTTAAGCCGCCTTTCTCGGTTTCTCCTTTTCTTAAACCGGGCAAAAAAATCTCGCCCCACGCGTGTCAGATCCTCGCCGTGTGCTCCCCCTGCCAGGCTGCCAGCGCGTCCTCGCGCTTCCGCGGGGAGCTGCGGACGCTGAGGCAAAGCCTGCGGGATGAGGCGCGGAGAAGCACGTGGGGAGGGGCTGTTGGTGTTTTTCTATTGGCTCTCTCAGAGTCACCAGTTGAAGCTTTTCCAAGGCAAGAGGCGGGGTTTCTCATTTCCTGAGATTGCCTGAAGTCAAGTTCTGTTTTTGGTAGGCAGTTGCTCTCGCGATCCAGTGCGAATAGCGGTTCAAGGCGTTTGGATGTGCAACCAATGAAGACACTAAGTGCAGCTTGCTAGGAGTGCTCTCCTACGTGAACCATTGAAAGGCGTGTCGGTGTCAACATGGCCCTGGAAAGTTGCTCGTGGTGAACACGACAAGCAGAAGATGCAGTGGACGTCGGTGTTTACTATCCGACCTTCGAAACTGTGGCTGTCGCAGGATGGGCGGCTCGCATTTCAGGAGCCGCTGGATACGCCCCAAATTGCTGTATCCGTGGCTCAGACATGGAGTGTCAGTCCGTGCAGATGGTGCGAACGCATCCTTAAAACTGTGACTTGTCCAGCGGGTGGGGCGTTTGTGAAAGCAGACACTGCAATCTCGCTGTCGCCCGGGCTCTTTGACAAACAGTGGCCCAACCAGGCAAATGCTGCCGGTGTCGTTGACTGCCTCCAACGGATACTAAGTTTTGATGTCGCCATGGATTGCCGATGAGTTTGCTGTTTCAGTTGAAGTGTGTCGATCCCTTTTGTAAGAGGACCATGTTTGGGAAGGCCACCATGCGTGCAGTTGCGAGCGGTTTCATTAACTTGCCAACCGATGACACGCGAGGATGTGATCTAAGATATGATGCAGGCAACATTTGCCTCAGCAGAGGCTGCCAAGATTTCGGGGAACACACGGCGTGAGAGGACCGCACGCATTTTCCTCAAACTGGCGGTTTCCACTCGCATGGCCAGGGCATTCTGGAGGACGCGCCGGGAGCCTGAGATTGTCGCCAAGGGGGCTGGACCTGCATCAGGTTTTTCTGAGCCTTACATCCCGCAAGCGAGGGTCAGGGTTCAACTGTGTCACTTTGGAGCAGACAATCAGGAATTTCCCAGTTTGCGCAACGCATAATGGTCGTTTGACGACATGCAATGACTGAAACGCCTACCAAAAAAGCGCGATGTAGCTCCTGAGGTGGTTGGTCCCGCGTTCTTTTCAAACACATCAAACCAGTCAGGGCAATATGCATCTTCCCACATAAGTGGGCTGAAAGAAATGTCACCAGGCACAGAGCTGCAAACGCCTCTGTTCTCCACGCCACTGCCCAGCCCAAATCCATGGCAACACTGAACAACAAGGCTAGGGAATCTGGGCGACAAGTCCTGTGATTGATGCTCAAGTGAGCCACAATCAAAACCCGGTATTAAAATGGGAAGCCCAGAACCATGTAAAGAATTAAGAAGGCGGCCGCAGCTATTTATGACTGGGATTGGCCCTTACTAACCTTCCTCTACCCGGGTTTCGATTGTGGCTCAAGTAGGCGATGATGACATGAGATCGCTGATGCACATCCTGGTCGATATTTTTGGCATGAGATGAACATGGCACCAACTCGCCCTGGAATTACTCCTGACCTCGGATTTCTTGATTTTCTTCAGAGTCTACGGTACTTCCGCGTCCGGATCTTGCACTTCTGGTTCAGTTCCACTTTTGGTCCAGTTCTATTTCAAGCTCCCAGCTCGAATTCGTGGCTCGCGTTTTCTCCACGGTGGAGAGTCCACGTTTCGGGGGAGGCATACTCTTTGCTCCTTTCTGTGGAGAGATCCTGGGCAAGCCTACCCATGGCTTGAGCCGCATTCTCAGTGTTGGTTGTTGAATTGGGGTTGCTTTCCTTCCTAAACCACAAGATGACGCCCAGAGTGGCCACATCAAACTTCCCTTCCCGGCATGTCTCAGCGTGAGCGGCGCAGGCCACGTTGTTTGGGCGCCTGGTCAGTTCGTCAAAAAGTGGTTAGTGAACACTTTGTCTTGTCTCGCCTGTGAATGAACCGCAATGTCACTGGGGCCTCAAGGCACTTTGCAATTAGCCAAATCACAAACCAAAGCATCTCAATCGCGGGCATCCGTGCTCGAATGCTCGAGTGATTCTCTGCTGCAGAACAAAGACGTCTCATCATTTTTCTCATTTTTTCGGGGCTTTGGTGCACGCGCAAGCAGAGCTGGTTTTCCAGCAGCCTGAAGCCGAAATGAATTCCTTGGGGCTGCCAGGCGTGTAACCCAGAGATTTGGGGCACCAAACGTCATTAACAGCCCACATAGGCTCTCTCAAACATAGCTTCGGGCACTCACTTCCTTTTTTGTTGAAGGGACCCAGAAGGCTTGGTCCTAGCTGAGGCTGGAGGTTGAGGCAGAGCCAGAGGCCGGGCCATTGGTCGGCAGAGATGGCAGAAGAGATTGTTGAGCCCAGATGAATCAACCGCTTACTTTTGGGGTGTTCCCCCTCAAGTGATAAATCCCCACTATAGGGACACCCGCCTATCAATAAGCAGGGGACATCAGTTTAGGTGTACATTTGGGCGGGTCAAGAATAGGTACCCAAAATGGAACCCTGGTAAATGGAACCAAGGACTAAAACCTGCGGTTCCCTGGTGTCTTTTGTTTTTGACCCATACCCATCTATTGTTTTCGTATTGCAGTCCGCATACTTCTTGTTGGGTCACAGTTGCAAGAGCAAAAGGTGGATCTTTGTCATCTCTTCGTGCATTCTCACTTCGCGGAATCATCCGTTGCTCCTTTGTGTGAGGGTTTGGGGGCCCGGCCTCCCGCCTCTCTGGGATAGCTGTGCACCCACACGCCTCTTGTGTATTTCTCCGCGGCTTGTCAGCACCTGTTAGTTTGGGACGCCTAAGCATGCTTCTCTGCCTGCTTTCGATTTGGAACTGGCCTCGAACTTGGCTATGCTCAGCCCATGCCACGGACATAGATCGCTGGGAAGCTTCAAGTTTGGTGCAGCCAGACCCGATCATTCCCCAGGCGGCTTGGCGGTTGCACGGCCTTCAAGAAGCTGCCTCAAGCCATGCCAATCACCACACCTCCATGGTCACTCCCCAGTTGCACCATGCCAGGGAGCAGAGCTCTCCAATGTTGCGCGAGAACCCACAGGGATTTTCCGGGCAAAAAAACAGTGTCTCCTTTTGCCCAGATACTCTTGTGATGAGCATAGCAAGGCTTTGAAAGGTACTACAAACAACTAGGGAGTTAACCCATATTTGAGTTTCTACGAGCGTTGAGTACGATGGAGTAAATGTGAGACAGATGCTGCAGCACAGTTTCCTTCTCGGAATGCCCCTCCAGCGTTGATCCAACCAGCCCAAATGGCAAAGGGCAAGGGAGCCCCCTTCACAGTGACAAATGTGTCGTGGAAATGCCCGTCTAGGTGTCACCCTTGAACCACTCAACAGAAACACGCACCCATGACTCCCAAAAAAAGGTTGAGATGTCGGTGAATCATTGCAGAGGGATAGCCTGAGGTTGAGAAGATAGGAGAAGCAGGCCAGTGCATGAACATACAGAACTCTTCGTGGATTGAGCCTTAATCAAGCAGGCATTGTCTACGAGCAATGGTCGAAAGGCTTGGTTACTTCATGTTCGCAGGGGTGGGTGATAAGAATCCCTGTTCATGAAACCATCAACGGCGAACTCTTTCCATGGCAAATAGTTCAGTTGAAAAGAACTGTCTTCAACTCCTACTCCACTCTGCCATAGTTGCTGTACGCGGACCGGCCCTGTTTTGCCTTGTGGCGGCTCAATGCGTTCGTAGTCGAAATCTGTGTCAAGCTAGGACCCTCGAAGTGGTCTCCGTTCGCCTGAAAAAGAGAACCCCAATGGGAGTGGCCGTTCTGAGGATCCGACCAAGGAGCTGCAGGAGGCACTGGCGCTGTCGCAAGGCCAGATGCCAAACTCATGCGGTCAGACGCAACAGCGCTGGTCAAAGGGAAACCGAAGCAACAACCACTGTTTATAGGCTTATCAAAGGAAATTTAGAAGGAACTTCCGTGTTACGGCTACTAATTGAAAGCTAGCTCTCTGAGACAGATGACAAGAGAAGGAATAAGCCCGCGAGAAAATATGCGTGCTCGTGTGGTGAGAGAATAGACATGTGCAAAAAGCATGGCCCTGTGCGTGAATTGGCGTCTCCGGAGAGCTGAAAGCTAGCCTGTTCGCGGCGCCTGGTCGGACCAGTCTCGGACCACGTTCGGACCACGTTCAGACCACTCTCGGAGCGCGGGCCCATTGGCACGGCAACGCGAAGCAGGCTTTGAAGTCCGTGGCAGGCGCAGTGCTTTTGCAAGGTCAGGTGCAGACTTCGTGGCAGGCGCAGCACTTTCTCAAGGTCAAGATTTCTTGAGGTTTCACTTGCGTGGTAGGCGCATCACTTTCGCAAGTTGATGTATAGATGTCGTGGCAGGGGCAGCGCTTTCGCAAGGTCAAGTACAGCACTTTCGCATAGGTAGATAGATAGATGGATGAGAAGAGAACGAGAGAGAGAGAGAGAGACAAAGAGAGATAGCTAGATAAAAAGATAGAGAGATAGATCGATAGGTAGATAAACAGATAGGTCGATAACAAATACATATAGATAGATAAAAGATTAATAGATAGAACGATAGATGAAAAGACAAATAGAGAGAGAGAGAGAGAGAGAGAGATAGGTAGATAAATGCAAAGATAGATAGATAGAGAAAGAGAGAGAGATAGATAGGTCTAGATAGATAGATAGATAGGGTTTGATAGATAGAGAGATTAGATAGATAGAGAACATACAGAAAACAGATAGACAGATAGATAGAGAGAGAGCTAGGTAGAGAACATGCAGAAAACAGATAGACAGAGAGATAGAGAGAGAGAGAGAGAGATAGATAGATAGACAGATAGATAGACAGATAGATAGATAGATAGATAGATAGATAGATAGTTAGAGAAGAGACAAAAGAGAGAATGGCGCAATAACAAGGAAAGAAAGAAAGGAGTGGGGAAGGAAGGAAAGAAAGACAGAAAGAAAGAATGGCTAAGAAAAAAAAAGACAATGAAAAAGGAGAAGAACAGAACAATAATCAAGAAACGAAAGAGAAATATAACTATACTTATTATATTTTTGAAACTTCCGCCCACCAGCTTCGCCGGCTCTACTGGTATATATATATATATATATATACACTCTATTTTTCTGGGGGCGGGGGGGCTCATAGCTTCTAGGATAGCCGTGGAGAAGCCATGTACAGGTCGCGGCCATTTTGCATGTTTGCTTGCACGTCAAGATCATTGAAGATCTTGAGATCAAGAGAAGAGAGACAGGCATGGTGTGGCATGAGGTCAGGTAACGGCTCCAAGCAAGCTTGTCTAAATGTTTATTTTTGCATCACTGGCTTCCACATCTTTTGCCAGCGAGCCGGGCTCCGGCGTTCGTCTGTTTCGTGCATTTCAAGCTTTTCCATATTTTTCTGCAGCCGACATCCCCCAAGAGTGCCAGCTCGTGCTTCTCTGCCCTCTAGCTCTTTCAGCAATTGGGCTCCCATGAAGGACCAAGGCCATGAAGGCAATGAAGGCTGCCAAGGCCATGACCAAGGGTGGCATCGTGAGTGAGCTGGCTTCCGCGACGGGCTTGTATACACAAGCTACGCCAGAAGTACGTTGCTCTCGGCATATAGCTTCGCTTGACGTCGTTTGCCAAGCCGGGCACGTCCCGCGCCCTTTCGGGCAGGTGTCTCGGAGGAGCTCCTCAGCGAGGCGGAGGCGTTGCGGCGGAGTTTGCAGGAGGCGGAGGCGAGGCCGAAACCGAACATCCCCTGACATGGACATTGGAAAGCTTGGGCAACACTGGCAAGCCTAGATAACATATCCGAGCACATGGGATTGTCCATGTCAACCGTGATCAATATTGAGTATATGGATGTTGCTGAAATCGAGTTGAGCTCATCCTGGTGGGTGTTCGGTCTCCTTTTTGGCTTCCCTTCCAAACCATCCGCAAACGAGTGTCTTCATTTTGCGACACATCCATAAACAGGAAGGAAATGATGTGGGCACGGACTTCGCGGAGCTTCTGTGTTTGCTTTCAATAAGACTGGTCCAAGCCATTTCAATCTGTGGTTTTGCCGGGTTCATCCGAACAAGGTGGTTGTTGTCCCCCACAAGCATGACTCAGGGGCAAAAAGCGACTAGGCGCTTCGGCCCCTTGTTGGAACTGCAGATTGCTTTCATTGGTGGGTCGATTCTTCATTGAGGGGACCTCACTGTGACCGCATTTGACGGGCACTCACATTTGGGTATGCCCCTGTGAACAGCAACGGTTTCCTTAGAGCCAAGAAAATCCAATGAGAACAAAGATCAAGCCGACCCCAAGTGTTTGAACGACATTCACCATCATTTGACCCTACATCTGTGTTGTGTTTGTCCCAGCCCACCAAAATTGAACATCCCTCCCTCCGAAGCAAAGCTCCGCGTGAGCGGATCAATTGGCGCAGGGAGCCTTGGAGGAGAAGCGGCAAAGCCAGCAGCGGTCCGAGGACTCCTTCCTGGAGTGCCAGGAGGCGAATCCCCCCGCGTCCGGGAGAAAAGGCTTTGAATCCTCCCCTACAAAGTAACATGGACCCGGCCAAAAATGGCGGTGTTCTTTTTTTTTGGGGAGGGGGGGAGCCTGGGGTAAAAAGTTGGTCCAATGAACTTGGCATCCCCAATTTCAGTCTTAACCATCAGACATTGGGAACCTCTTTGTATTTTGTGGAAAGTGTAAATAGGCTCCATGATGTCCATTGGCAACACCAACCCACTTTAGCTCCGAAACAACTAGCTTTTAGCGGTGTTCAGCCATACGCTTGCGGGATCTATGTCAGAACCTATGAAACACTTGTAACAAGGGATCAACGAAACGCTTAGTTTTGTGGTGGGACGTGCAGGATGTTGCTTGGTTCGCTCGCTTGAGCATCATCCAACAAGGTGGTACCTGAAGAGGGAGGGAGAGAGAGAGAGAGAGAGAGAGAGAGAGAGAGAGAGAGAGAGAGAGAGAGATAGAGAGACAGTGTCAAACAGGCTCTTGCCCTTTTCGGATTCTTGAATTGTGTGTTGGGGGTTGGGTGGGGGAATCTGTATGTTGTCGGTGTCGTTTGACTTTGGCTGTTGGCGTTTGTGGTATGCATTGTCTATTTCCTGGCGCCATGATGTTTGTTTTGTTTCCAGAGCTCGCTCTTTGTTTTACTTGTTTATTCGACTTGTTTGATTTGTTGTTTGTTGGTTCGTTTTGGTTTGGTTTGAACGTTCGTTCACTTGTTTGCTGCTTTGTTTTGTTTGTTTGTTTGTTTGTTTGTTTGTTTGTTTGTTTGTTTGTTTTTTGTTTGTTTGTTTGTTTGTTTGTTTGTTTGTTTGGTTTGTTTGTTTGTTTGTTTGTTTGCTTGCTTGCTTGTTTGCTTGTTTGCTTGTTTGCTTGTTTGCTTGTTTGCTTGTTTGCTTGTTTGCTTGTTTGCTTGTTTGCTTGTTTGTTTGCTTGCTTGCTTGCTTGCTTGCTTGCTTGCCTGCTTGCTTGCTTGCTTGCCTGCCTGCTTGCTTGCTTGCTTGTCTTGCTTGTCTTGCTTGTCTTGCTTGCTTGCTTGCTTGATTGACTGCCTGCCTGCCTGCTTGCTTGCTTGCTTGTTTGTTCGCCTGTTTGGTTGCTTGTTTGTTGGCTCGCTCGTTTGTTCGCTTGCTTGCTGACTGACTCTTTTGTTTGCTTGCTTTTGTTGTTTGCTTGCTTGCTGGCTGGCTGGCTTTTTCTTTGTGTGTGTGTGTGCTTGTTGTTTGTTTGTTTGTTTGTTTGTTTGTTTGCTTGCTTGCTTGCTTGCTTGCTTGCTTTCTTTCTTGCTTGTTTCTTTGTTTGTTGGTTTGTTTGCTGGCGGTGGGATTGTTGGTGGGATCGGGTGGATGGATGGATGGATGGATGGATGGATGGATGGATGGATGGATGGATGGATGGCTGGCTGGCTGGCTGGCTGGCTGGCTGGCTGGGTGGGTGGGTGGGTGGGTGGGTGGGTGGGTGGAGGGACGGACGGACGGATGTTTGTTTGTTTGTTGGTCGATTGGTTGGTTGGTCGGGTGTATCTGGAAACGTAGTTGATGTCTTGCACACGCGAGTGTGGGCGTATAGCTGGCCCAGGCAATATCCCAAGGATATGTCCCACAGAAATCTGTCTCTAGCCAACAGACTGGCTGCCGGTCGCCATCACCACCTTCTCTCCCTGCCGGTGGCGGCCCTGTCGTCCTTCTCCTGCCGCGGCACTGTGGCTTGTCTTTCACTCCCGGGCCCGGCGAAGGCTTCGAGTTGGCTCGACTCGAGTCGTTTTCGTTGAGATGTTGGGCCTCGGAACTTGGAAACCCCAGATAAAGTCTTGACAAGGAATCCTGATGTTGCGTGATTTCAGATGCTGTCAGGGAACTTGGGAGATGTTGGTGGCCTTGCGAAAAGTCAATATCACCCTGACATCGAACGTTGAGCGCATCAAACAGCACAAGGCGGCGGCGCGGCTTCGGGGGGAGCGGGACACCGCGCGCTCCGAGCTGGAGGCGGGGCCCGGATCGATCCGAGGCGCTTATTTTTGTTTGGGATTCTAAAAGGAGACCAAAAGGAAGCCAACCGTTTTTAGCGGTTCCCTAACTTGACTTTTAGCGGCTTCCTAACTTGAGACAACCCCCATGTTTGTTTCTTTGGGGGGGGGTCAATTTTTGTTTTGGGTGCGGGGGGAGGTCGGGGGGTGGGTTGGGCCCTTTTTGGCATCCCCCTCATAGGTGGCACAAAGCAGCACCGGGCCATATTTTGACACCCCTCCACCCATTTTGATGCGAATTTCATTACAGCCTTCTAGTCACGGGATCCGGACACCAGTTGGGTACACAGACCGGTTTTCAACAACGATTTGCCTTTTTCAAAATGACAAAGGCGCAGAGCTCGGGGAAGAGTCAGCAGGTAGTGGTGAGTTTGGAGGGGGAACCTGTGTTGGGGTTTTTGGTCAAACCGTATGATTGCAGGCAATGGCACCAGTCACAGTTTGCTGGGGCATGAATGGGCTTCAAAGTTGCCTCCTCAAGCAGAGAGAGGCTCTCAAGAACCAAGTTGGGCTTGATGTGACCTGGTGTGGGTGGGAGTGTATTTGACTTGTGCCAACGCGTGCTTGCACGTGTTAGCATTGCCCCAAGAAACTCTGTAGGTTGGTGGTCGCCAACTCATCTACCTGACCTATTTCCGTTAATGGTTCACGCTATCTCGGGAGTCGATCGCCACTTCCAGCCCGCGCCTTCTGTTGACGCGCCTTGCAATGGATGTCTGCAACCCCTCCTTCCACTTGGCTGTGGCTCAAAAAACCGGTGCCAAAATAGAACCCTGGTAAGTGGAAACATGGACCAAAACCTGCTGTTTGCCCCCAGCTCTTTATTTTTGAGCCACTCCCACTTGTGATGGCTACCCAACGCCCATCTCCGCATGCGGCTTGATCCACGGCTCGTCACTTGAGGAGCTCACCACCCTGGCCAGCGCCTTCAAGGGCCAAGCGGAGGGGGAGATCTGCGAGCTCCGGCCGGTGACCCAAAGGGGCAAGGAAGCGGGCCATGGGGCGCCGAGGAACACGGGGTGTTCGGTTTTTGTTGGGCAAACTCATGCTGTCAGGTCTCTCGTTTTGGGAATTTCGCTTCAGGGCAGCCTTGGTCGTTGTTTTTTGTTTCGAATATCTTCCATATTGTGGCAAGGGTTCTGGAGCACTTGCCTCGAAGTTCAAGCTGCTTGGACATGGTTTGCAGCTATCGGACCCTGAAATCTCAGCGCAAAGGGTTTGCACACACGATCTAAAAGAGATCGCAAGATGCTGCCAGGGTCATTCTCTGAGAGCCAGGGAAGCGAGCCATTGTGAAAACTTGGGCCCCGACTCACCTCATGCGGCTCCGTTGAAAGAGCCGGACGCGCAAGCACTGCTAGCCAGCGGCAACAGCTGGGATCCGAAATTCCAGTGGTTTATGGTTCTTCAGACAGGCCAACAGTTCGATCCGTCGCTTCACCGGACCATCGTGGAGTCAACCCGAACGAGTCGCCCGGGCCCCGAGGTGGCTCCGGCTGAGCGTGAAGCTGATGCGGCAGGAAGACGCGGACACCCTTGAGAGCCTCAAGGAGACGATTCGAAGCAAAAACCGAAAGAACTCCATATGAGAAGGCCTGAACCGTTTAAAGCCAAATGTCATGTGGTGAAAAATAGAGGAGTGTGGTTCAAAACCAGTTCGTAGCTTGGTTCATTTGGTTTTTGAAGACATCCTTTTGGAACAACCCTGAACGATTGATTAGCAATCATTATTGCCTATACTTCATGACTTGTTGTTGTTTGTTACTGTGCCTGGCCCTGGCACTCCCGTCGGTTGGCTTGGATTTGGCGCTGCAACGGAATGTCAGAGGAGCACATGGGCGTGTCTGTTTTGTTGGGTAGCCTTTTTGGGGTTGCTTTCAAGGGAAGCCAACGACCACCCCTTTTGGGGGTGCCTGCATTTGCAGATAAAAGACACATATTGGCAGAGATGAGATCACTTCAAGCTGCACCTGCTTGCTTTCAGGCCTTTGCAGTTTGAGACCTCTGACACTTCATTCTGACCAAGTCGAAGTCTGCTGCTTGCTTTGCGGCCATTCGGCTCGGTGGCACTCAGGAGAGCTGGTCACACGGCAACCGCAAGTGGCAGGCGAGCCGAGGGACGAATCGGGTGGGGCTCAGCACGATTCGCTGGGAGCCTTGTCAGGGGCGTATGAGTAGGTCGCCAATTCGTATGGTTCCGTGTTTGATTGTTGCGTGAAGTGGATGAAGTAGGAATCAGCGGTCAGCGAAAGGGGCCTCCGTATTGTGGGATCTTGAACCTTGAAGATCCAAGGCTGATGGTTCAAGCCCCTTCAAATTTTGAATCTGAGAATGTCGAAGACGCTTTCATGCTAGGACCCCCATGATTGCTCAATGGAGTGTATGTGGCACATGATCGGCGCTTGCAGGCGCCAGGGTTTGGTCCTCCCAGCATTCAGTCCCCGCATGCCTTTCCAGGACTTGAGTGAAACTTCGTCTCAGGGAAGCCTGGTGAGATTCTGAAAAAATATGCCAGAAGATTGCAAGCCTGTCAACGGGCTGTTCCTTATTTTTTGATTGCTGCACAATCAACCCCTCTCTGACAACCATTGCCAAGCTGATAGGAGGGTTCCGGAAGACTCTTTGGCTCTTGAAACAGCCCCGTCCACTTCCATTGAAAGCAATGAGGAGTGGATCAGCTCGTAGCCCGGGCTTCAACTGTTCACCACATCTCATTTGACGTGCGAAGCAGCCACGAGCCTGACAACAGGTCCGGTGAAGACGAGTAAATGTTTGGAACCGCTAGGCCGGTGTATGTGTGCGACCTGGGCACCAGGCTTCCACTCGCACCCTGAGGGAGAAGGTCAACCAACGCACCGCCGAGGCGGGCTGATGTTGTTCATTGTTTTCAGCCGACGTCAGCTGGAACTTAGAAAGCCTACATCCCTTAAAAGGCCGGAATAAATGAACAAATGGCCGCAACATCCTTTGTTAGTTGAGGCACGCCCTGATTGCAATCAGGATTCCACCAGTTGGTTATTGTGACCAATCCCAAGGATATTTTTGTTAGGCTCCACTGATGGCATGGCTTAAATGAAAGCGAGCAGGATCCTGGTGCTAGTAATTATGACACCTGAGATTGCAAACGGGCCTTTGGCTGTACGAAGCAAGACAGAGATGACAGCGGCTTTCCAATTTTCCGCGAATGGCATTTGTATCCTAGGTCGCGAAAGGAGCCGGGGCCTTGGCATTTTTGGACAGCCGGCGGGGCAATGTCTGGACCGGTCGGACGGCGCACGGGTGTCCAGCAAGACTTTGCCTTTTGTTGGGTTCCAGGATTCTTGCTTGCCTTGGATGCTGCTGTTGTGTATGAAGCAGCAAATGGAACCGAGGACAGGTAACAAACTGTTGGCGCATGTAGGTGGAAACAGCATGGTTTACTTGCGCAGGCAAGTCGAGCAATTCAACACATGCATAAACGAGTGGGGTATCGATTGTTTGAGAGGAGGATGCGCCTGAAATCAGATCTTGAACGGGCCCTTTCTGCATATTAATGGTTTGGTGGGTTTGGTCCGGCGGATTTGTGGTATCCTGGCCCTCTTGCGGCTTTTCATCATCTTAGATTCACTTGTGCATCTCTCACAAAAGGTTTAAGATCACGTTGACCTCCGACCTGGGCCCTTTCCAAGCGGCTTGTGCTCCCGGACCACGCCAACTCGCGGCAACATTTCTTGAAACTTCCAGTGAAGGACCACGCATATGGCCCTACGGCCCACCCGTTACATGCTGGACGTATTTCCGTGAACCTTCGTGGGGTTTGGTTTGCGCGGAAGGGTCCAGGAAAGGTTGACCAGAACTCAAGGGGTGTTAGGCATGCCCTTGGCACCCTTGGCCCTCACGGAAGCCTCGGAGTCAGGGAAGTTTTCTGGCTGAGGACCAGGCGATGCACGCCTTGGAGGAGAAGGTGGCGAGCCAGGCGGCGAAGAGCTCACCATAAATGGTAGACTTTGGAACACAACGCTGCTCACGCGCTCGACGCAGCACGACTTAGTCATCGCCTACTTGAGCCACAATCGAAACCCGGGTAGAGGAAGGTTAGTAAGGGCCAATCCCAGACATAAATAGCTGCGGCCGCCTTCTTAATTCTTTACATGGTTCTGGGTTTCGCATTTTAATACCGGGTTTTGATTGTGGCTCACTTGAGCATCAATCACAGGACTTGTCGCCCAGATTCCCTAGCCTTGTTGTTCAGTGTTGCCATGGATTTGGGCTGGGCAGTGGCGTGGAGAACAGAGGCGTTTGCAGCTCTGTGCCTGGTGACATTTCTTTCAGCCCACTTATGTGGGAAGATGCATATTGCCCTGACTGGTTTGATGTGTTTGAAAAGAACGCGGGACCAACCACCTCAGGAGCTACATCGCGCTTTTTTTGGTAGGCGTTTCATTGCAGCGTGCAGAGCGCCAGGTATCCCTCGCCAATTGGGTCAGAGTTCTGGGAAGACCCACCAGCGCTGCGCAAAGTTCCAGTTGCAGGTTCCTCGGGCCTCGGTTGTCAAAAAGTCGCCTTCTAGCTGCAGTGGCCTGTGGTATGCTCACTGTTGGTATCCTCAACCGTCACCATCTCCATTGTTGAATCAATCTGCGCGAGACCAAATCTAAAGCTGATATGTTATTTTTTGTTTGGTATTCACAAACGCCTTCCGCGGCCACAAACACAGAACCAACATAAACAGCAAACAACACAACTCCATCTCCGGATCCCTCCCTCTTTGCATCCTTCTTATTTCTTCTTCTCGAAGTTCCTGGTCCAAAAAAATCCTTGGAGCCAAATCGCCCTCCCCTCCCCTCCTCTTTGGCCCTGGGAGAGAGCTGCAGGGGGAGCAGCTGCAGAGCTTCACCGCGGCGGCGCTCCAGGAGCTGCGCCAGGCGCAGCAGACCTGGGAGGCGCGCGCGCGGTCCGAAGCGGAATCCGTCGGCACGTCGAGATCGTCCAATAGTGGTTGGTAACGGGTTCCCGAGGGAGGAAGGACTAGAGTGACATAAGGGGGGAGATAAAACCCTACAGACCGGGTTTGTGGGTTATTGCGCCAAATTACACAAAGAGGAGGGGGTATTGTTCCACTGACCCCCAAACCACTACCGGGGCCCGGAAAACGGGACCATACATCCATACCATTTTTCGGTGGGTGTAGTGGCTGAGGGTAAGGGGGGAGGACGGTCGCCAGCGATTTTTATCCATCTATCTATCTCTATACATATATATATATATATTCATTCAAAGCTGCTTCTGTCCACTTCTTTGCCCCTTTCGCGCTTCTGTCCTTCAGCATTCCCCGACTAAGCAAGTCTTTGGCTGCCGAGGTCAAAACTCGACTCGACTGGGGCTAGGTTGACTAGTGTCTTTACCCGACGAACCGAGTCGAGGGAAGTTCGGACATTCCTGCTTCGACCAAACTTGGCTCAACTGGCATCGCCGAAGTGTACTTTTGACGTCTTTTCCAAGCACTTGCAAGTCAGGAGGTTCGATATGAAGCGGCGTAGCAGCGGCCGGCTTGCCCTGCCGCAGTGCGGCGGCTGAACGGCACGCAGCCTGCTGCTGCCCTGCCAGTTCCGCTTCCGGCGTTCCTCTTGCCGCAAGTCGTCCGTGACTTCCCTGGACGCCTTCATGCCGCCACGGCGCAGCGCTCAATTTTGCCGCTGAGGGTACTGGCGCATCAGGTCCCTTCGCAGTTCAGGCCAAAGGACAGAAAGGACACTGCCGCGTCGTAGAGCCGGACTGCGTCGCGACGACTGCAGGATGCCGCCCTGCGAAGAGATCCTCCAGCCCTGGCGGCACCCAAGTGTCTTGCTGCAGATGCGAGGCCTTAATTCTTCGCCACGGTGCCGCTTTCCACGCTGGCCGCCTCTTCGCCGACTCGCCGGATGCAGCACAGTGCGCGTAGCTGCGCTTCCTGGACTCTGCCACTGCTCCTTCCCAGCGGGCGCGTCTATTCCCTGACTTGAGCGAGGCAGACCTCGCGCTGCTCGCCAGCATGCTGGCTCGGTGCTCCCCGTATCCTAGCTAGTTAGATGCCAGCTGCGCGTTGCCGTGTTGCTGGCTCGCGCCGCTACTGCCGGCCCTCCACATCTCCGCCACCTGTGGTATTTGCCCCGACGGCGTGCGTCCGCCAAATCGGGACATTGTGGTTCTCATGACCACCCGCAGCATCGAGTCAACCAAGGCTGGAGCCCTGCCATGTTGCACGCACCGAACTTTCGCACCCCTCGCAACTAGCAGCTGATCGCTATTGAGTTCTACTCCTGCCGCCTCATGCGCCGTAGCCCTGGCTTCAGTCTGCCGCTGCCTGCGGTCTGCTCCTCTAGCTGTATGTCTGCGACGCGCGGTGGTGTCGCCTGAACCAGTCGGACATCTGCTGTGAGTCTTGCAGCGGCTTGGTGGAACGTCTCGCCGGCGACGCTTCTACTCCACTTGGTCGGCCTGTCATCCTGCGGCAAGACTACCTCGGTGCCATGTGCTTGGTGCGTACTTTTGGCATATATATATATATATATATGTATGTATATAGGTATATATCTATTATATCTATTATATATATGTTATATATATATATTATATATATATATATTATATATATATATATGTTATATATATATACATATGTTATATATATATACATAAATATTTGCCTTTTAGAAATATGACGATGGCAAAACAGATTTGAATCCCAGGTCAAGGGGTTGAACTTCAAGGAATGGGCCAGAAAGGTTTTTGGGTTGATTGTTCTCCTAGCCGTGCTTCTTGTGGAGGCACTCAGTGGTTGGTAGTTTTTGGTTTTTAGCATTTCCTTCTTGAAGGGTGGGCAGGTGGGCGGTTGGGTTGGCATGCGTTCGCAGCAAGAGCTTTCTCCTAGCTGCACTCTTCCTCCTGATGGTGGCTGCCCGGACGGCTTAGAGCAGCTGTATGCTGCAACATCTTAGGCGGATGTGTGTGCGCCAGTTGCTCGGACTTGCCCTTTAGACCTGCCATGTTTACATGATCGCCTTGGTATGTTGCACAGGAGCTTTGGGGGTGGCTGGTCTAGAGCAGGCAGGTTCGAATCATTTCTTTGTTTACGCCTTGACAACGGAGCAGGACCTCCCCCGCATGGTCGATACCATCACGACGAGACGCACATTTGCGGATTGCTTGCGTGGTGTTCGCGGCATCGAAGCCACGAAGCCAACAGCCAGCGAACATTTGAACCTCAACGAAGGCGCCCAGAACCTCATTGACCAGAATCTGCGGCAACAGTGCGGAGGAATGCACCGATGACTTGTGGCCTATAAGCTTTGATTTCCCTCGCATGGGGCCTTCCCAGCCACGCCCAGCCTCGTTGCGCTCGTTGCGTGCTCGGTCATGAACTCTTGAAGGGTTTCGGGCAGCAGGCGCAGCTGCAGACGGAGCGGACCTTGCGGCAACAGGTGGAGGCGCGAAGGGCCGAGTCGATGGCTTTCTCCGAAGCTGGCTGTGCGTAGGCCAAGTGAATCCACTGTCCATGCCCCATGCCCCGGCTGAGAGGTCTCATGGGTGACAAACAATCTTCAGCAGGCCCACAGCTGAAGCGCTTTTGCAGGGAAAGGTTGAATTGCACTGGTGGCTTTGTAGTAAGTTTTTCGCTATTCATGCTGAGCGCGGCAGCAAAGGCAGAGGCGGAGGGTTACAGCTGCGCTGAACTTGTGGCTGCATTTCCAGATATTGAGCTGACCAATGCAGGAAGGCCTCTGGAGTGTTGTGCCATGGTTGCAGATGCGGGTGGCCACGTGACCAGGTAGCGCAAAGGAAAGCTTGCAAGCAGCCGATGGCTTTGTTGGGTCAAGACAGGGATGAAATCTGGCTTTTGGATGCGCCGAGAGGCGAAGGTTGGGACATTAGCCTTGCTGTGTTTGACACCAATGCTGACAAGTGGTTTCTGGTGTTGTTGGATGTGAAAGCCAGAGTAGAAAGCACGGCAGATGAGCTAGCAATTGTCCTCAAAGCAAAGGATACCACGCAATTTTTCGGGCACAACGGAACGTGCCTGTCCCAGACCCTGCCGTTTGAAGAGCAAGAAAGAAAACAAGAAGAAAGCAACGTGTTAACACACTTCTGTGAAAGCACCTGAGTGCAAACATTCTCAGGCCAGTCACTGTGCCCATGGGATTTCTTACAGTTGCCATGTAGGCAAAGCTGCGGGACGAGACAGCGGTACCAGAGGCGGGGCATGTGGGACTGGCTAAATTGCCGTACCAAAACCGAGGCTTGGGCATACGAAAGGAGTGCTTCGAAGGGCGGTGACCTTTTCAGCATGCATCTGGAAAGCCTTTGAGCCCTTAGATCGTGCGGTTTTTTGCTGTGCCTTCACGGCTTTGGTAATATCCTTTGGCCAGATTGAGGCAACCTGCTCCTTGAGGACATGAGCTGCACACTTGCTAAGCCATAAGCACGTTGGGGTCATTGGGGCCAAAATTAGTTCTTTGCTATGCTGACTTCAGCTGCTCTGCAAACACAGCTTCATCCAAGTGAGCAGGAACCAAGGAAGTCCCTCAATGAGAGAAGTGAGGATGGCAAGTCTTTCCAGCAAGACCGGCCAGCCAGCTGCCAAGGCTGGAGGGCAGGTCGCTCTGACATGCAAGTTAGTCAGTGGCTGCCTCTCAGGCGCTGAAGCCTCTGGAGCCTGTGGCACCTGAGGCACCTGAGGCGACGGGGGCCCGGGCCCTGGATCCCACGATGTGAAGAGTAGGGTGAAAAGTTCGCCTCTCAGTCGAGGAGCCAAGGAATTCGGAATTCGAATATTACATGCGCCCCATACGGGCCATCCACGTCGCATGTCACATGTACACCACGAGAAGGCAATCGTGAGCAGAACCGCGCGGCTCCCCATAAAGTGGGCCATGTTGTTCTTCATGACATCGGCCCTTTTGTTTCTTTTCTGGCCCCCTTTCACAAAGAAGAAACCAAATCAGCGCAGCGCAGCACCGTGTGGTGTGCTTGACATTGACCCCGACCTGTTTGGCTTGGGGTGTGAGCTTAGGGTTTAGGCTGGGTTTAGGTTTGGGGGTTTAGGCTTGGGGTGTTTGAGATTTCGGCTTGGCCCCCATAGGCTTAGGGCTTTAAGGTTTTTGTTGGGTTTACGGTTGTGGGGCTTAGGTTTGGGGTTTTAGGGTTTAGGCTTCGAGTTTTCAGGGTTTAGGGATTGTAGGGTTCACTTTCTGTAGCCGAGTTGGCAAGTTGGGCTACCGGGATCAGCCCAAAGTCCCAAAACCGCCCGCAGTAATTTTCCGTCCCGGGGTGTTGGGCCAAGCCACATGTGAAGGTTCCATGTTTGTCTCGCAGCAGTCGGAACAAGCCCATGCCGTTTGGGTGTTCCGATTCCCTGAAGCAAGCTCTGATCTTGCCCGACAGCAGCTGGCACGACTTATGGAGTCTCGGGTCAAAGGGCATCCGCACCGCTTCAAGTCGCTCAAGACTTCAGGCGGTTAACATCAAAACTTCCTCAGGGTCAGGGCTCCAAGCCAAAGCATCTCCAGTTCTCGGGCTGCGGGTCCAGCTCGGGCAGCGATATGAACCAACCGAAGCGTGGCACCGTTTTTTGGGGGGCCTGCGACGCAGATACATGGCTCCCGAAAGATGCGACACCAAGGACATGGCGTCCAGCCTTGAGAAGGAGCGCCAAGAGGCGAAAAGGGAAACCGAAGGGAAACTACGCAGAGCCAAGCACGTAGTTGTCTTCCATAAGACCATTGGGAAACCTTTGGAGAGAAGCACACCTTGGTCTGAAACAAAGAGGAAACCAGCACACGCCGAGAGATGGTGTTAAAGAAAAGGTCACCACTGCAAAGAAGGGAGGTCCTTGATTCAGGAAACATGTGGTGGCAGCGATTTGCGGATGGTGCTATGAGCCCTTTGAGGCTGGAGAAGGAAACTTGACACAGGTCAAACATCACTACAGCCTTCAGCTCGAGTTCTTTGGGGAGCGAAGCTTCAAGGAAATTGGGTGGGTGGGGGGGTGTGGTTGTAACACCCTTTTCTTTTTTGCAGCTGCTTCTCTCCTCCAACCCAATGCGGATGATGTGGTGCAGGACACGCATCCCCAGCATTCTCAGCACCCAGGCCCCCCTGCTTGAAAGCTGCTTCTCCCGGCCCAAATCCTAAAAGCATATTGGGGCCCCTCGTATTCAGCTCGAGTTTGGTTCTAGGTTCTTCAACTGTTTCATCCTTGCTTGTTCTGAAATGGCCCAGCTGGTTTTTGGGTTCTACGCAACTGAAATCAGTCTCTCCACAATCCGGATCCCACCCCCTTTGGGTAAACTGTTGCTTCCTTTCGGGTCTGGCATAGGGATGACAGGGGAGCACATATGCATGCATGTGTATATTCCATAAATGCATGTACGCAGAAGTGCATGGCACCTGGCACACCCAAAGATCAGCCACCTGGACCCTGGGATCTGGCCATCTTGTGCCTGGGATGAACGGGGACACTCGCCTCCGGGCACCTTTGGGTTGCCTGCGCCTCAAGTTGTCACAGCCTCTTGGTGAAAGCGGGGACCAAGCGGACAGGTGCGGCGGCTGCAGAGCAAGCTGGCCGAAGCAGAGCAGACGCCCGGGGGCCCGGCGACAGTCAACATGAACTTCTTTTCACTTTTGCTTCCCCCCCCCCACCCGTCCGGCTGAATCTACCCACAGCGGTGCTTGCTCCGTCCCTGCCTCGGACCTTCCGCCTATTTGCTGGCCGTTTGGCGGAATGCAAGAACCTCATCCAGCCCCAAACCAAGCTGGCGACCAGCCGACACAGGCGCGGCAAGAGCGCAAGAAACGAGACTGCGCCTGATGCATTGGGATCGGTGGTGAAGCCAGACGGAATCCGTTGGGATCCCGATGCGCGACCTGGAATGTGTGATGCGCAGGGCACACTCTGCGAGGAATGGCCTCGCCCAAAGCTGCAAGAAGCCGACATGGGGCATTCTGTAAAATGGTATTGTGGATTGCTCAGATTGGGACTGCTAGACATCAATGCTCAAGCTCAAACAAATGCGCCCCCTCAAAGCGATGGTGTATTCCGCGGAAACCTCCCGAGCAAGAACAGCCAGGATTTGGGGAAGAAACCCACGAATTTGGCTCCTTGTACCTTCTCATATTGGGCCGTTTCGAGGAGATACACCATGCGTCCCTGGGCAGACACACCTAGACGCCCTGGCTGATATGATGATATTCTCTTTGTTTTGTTTGAGCATATCAATCCGGCAGACCATGGAGATCACAGCAATCCTCGCCAAAATGCATTGAATCCCACTACGGGGCAAACCACCCCTGATTTCTGTGGTCCCCAGATCACTCCGAAGTTGACAGACATTAGTTGCAAACAGTGAGTGCACAGCGGGTGGCCCTTTCATAAATCATCCCAAGACGCTCTCCGTCAGCATCTAACCGGGCTGCTTTGAACTGTTGTCCTTCCAGTTTTCCTCTCCATGAAACGGCCCACCGAAGCGTGTGCTGTTGTCCTCCCAGTTTTTCCCTCCGTACCTCAGCTAACACATAATTGCTCAAGAACAAGAAGTTCGAATTCCCAAACCATCAACACAACCACCACCATGATCAAACCGACGTCTAGGATTGGCCAGCTGGTGGTCAGCAATATGCCGGAGCCCACCAAGGCACGGAGAGACTCTCCGTGACTCCGTTCTGTTTGGGCCGCGAGAACCCTTCCTGGTCAATCAATTATGCAAGTGTGCCTTTTGGGAAATAGCAGGTTTGCGTATCGACTGCCTTTTGACGCCGTCCCTGGGTACCCAGTGTTGGTATACACCCATGTGGTTCTCAGATGGGCCCAGAAGTTGTTGTGCAACGGCTGGTAGGAAAAACACCACGCAGAACACTTTGGAGTGCCGCGCTTTTGCTTTTTTGTCCACTAAGCCCCAAGGGGCTTTAAATCCCCATGCTGAACAAATCTGAAACACGTACCAGGGCATTCTTCGAGGCTCGAGCCACGTGATTGGTAGCTGTTCTCGGCGGAGAAAACGTGCTTTGCCTGGAACTGGTTGGGGTCGTTTGGTGCCATCCATTTGGACTTGGCAGGACACTTCTATTAGAGGCTAGGTCCCCTTTGGCTTCTCTTTAAATGCCAACCAAAGTGGGCAAGATGTCTGAAGTGGCAATCCATTGCGCCTCAAAGACACTAGGCTCTTTCTAGATTTCAGTTTTCAGAGGGGTCAGCCTTGCATTCCACGGCTCCAGGAAGAGCCGGTGCAATCAGTTTGATGTTCTTTGAGAAGCTCCCTTGCCTGCAGCATTCACCCATCTAGTGTATTCTTGTTCCCTGCAACCCTAAGGTTTCGATCAAGTGATGCCGTCTCACCTTTGAAAGCGTCGCTATTGATTCGGAGCACCCACTGTGACATTTGCGACTCGGAGCGCACCGGGACTACACGGTTCCGTGTGCGGCCGTCCAGGCGCCTAAGCGGGGCGCCCAGGGAAGCTTCGCAGGGGGAATTTACGTGCGGGCATAGCCCTTTGCACATGAAGATCTAGTTTTGTTCAAATCCAGCGCTGTTCAGAACCAATCCTGCCAGATGATCGTAGCTTTCTCCCCGGTAATGGGGGCTACGGATTCGGATCCAGTGCAGGCAGCATGTTCTGGATCATTGTGGATTGCTTGGATCGGTCACCCTGGTACTTGAGCATGCCTGCTCCCCGCTGGCCTCTCTCCTGGACAGGTTAGCAGATTTCCGAGGTATGTGGGGCACCCAAAGGCTCTCTAGCCATCCTCCATGCTTCTTGTAGATTTGCAACTTGTAGTTGAACGTGCAAGTGTTCTTCTAAGTCCTCGCAAGAATGGAGAGCGTTTGTGGCCCAAATGGCACTGGAAGCAACACCTGTATGAGCAAAGTCACTGAAGCTTCAACCAATCTAGAGAAGGCTTGACTGACGGTGGTTTTCTCATAGAGTTCTTGCGTGGGGCCCTTAGTCTGTCCACGTTACTTCGCTGTGTAAAAGAGGGCGGGCGGGTCTCCTTGTGATACTCTGAGATGCAGATAAGTATTGCTTCCCGGACTTGTGCAAGTTTCACCGAAGCCTTCAGACTGAGCTTTTATTGGCCGCAGCGGCCTTGCCCCTACCGGATGGTATCCGAGTCACGCTTGCCTTGTGACGGAGTTGGAGTTGTTTGCCCAGCCTATGTAGGTTGCAAAGTCGCATTTCTGAAATGTGCAATTGATCCGGCCAGTGTCGCTTCACCAGTTCCAGATAATGTTGGACCCTCTTTACTGTGCTCCCCCCCGGAACAGAGGAACCAGTCAGCGGGACCCTCTTTAGTGAGAATCCTGAAGTCTGGGTGGGACTTGGACTTGGTAGTACTTACTTTAGTATTGCCAAGACTAAGCTTAGTATTCCCCGGAGCTTACTTTAGTATTGACAAGACTGCATTTACTAACTCTCAGATTCGCCGTTAATCGCTTTAGTATTGCCAATACTCAATTCAGCATTGCCAAGATAGTATTGCCAAACTTGATTTTAGTATACTTGTTTTGTAAGCACGTTATCTTATAATTGGTTTGGGGACCACTTCCAACCAGCATTCCCAATGTTTGCCCCGGGTTATGCAATCAAGTTCCAAGCCTGTAAGTACGCGTGAGCCCTATCTAGATCTTTACACCATCCCGGTGGAACCAACCTCAATGGATCTTGGGCGCGGCTCAAGTGAAAATTCACCTTCCTTGGAAGCGCCCCACCTGAGTTTCTCGTGGCTCGAAGTGTTCGTCGGACGGCTGAGGTCGCAAAGCCTCCGCAGCCGGACGCGCTCCGCACTGCTCTGACGGGCGGCGAGCCGAGACGCAGAGCTTCTTGAGCCTCGGCGCAAGTGGTGTGTGGCGCTTCCCGGCGCTCTTTTTCTCGCGTGGCAAGTGGTGCAAGTGGTCGCCAGCTGTTCTTGAGGTCATTGTTCGGCCGAAGTGGTTCTTGAAGTGTTGCTTTTATGTTCTGCAACACGTGCGCCCGACTGCCAGCTCGCAGAAGTACTGCGTGGGCCGAGCTCGCACAAGTTGTTGCCCCCTCCGGGGTGCAGAGGCACAAACGGAGCACCTCCCACTGTAAAATGATCATCTCTCTCTGCCGGAATTCGAGCGGAAAAGACGTGCTGGGCGGGTGGGAGGGTGGGACGGATACAAGAAGACTCGAATCAGATGTCTGGTGCCTTTTGGCGTTGCCGAGTGGACTCATTCCATGCTGACCCCACAAGAAGGACACGGGCAAGGCAAGGGCCTTGGCCTACCAAGATCTCATCTCCATGGGTTTGTGTCAAAACCGGGGCACCACCGAATTGTTTGTTTCCTTTTGGCGTCCCTTTCCTTTGGAACCAACCAACAGGGGGTTGCCCAAAAAAGACACACCATCGACGAGCTTGATGTGAAATCAAGCTGAGGAACTTATCCCACATGCTAGCAGTCTTTCCATCACTGTGGCCGACATTGTCCGCACTGGGGGAACAACCTGCACGCATGTCCAGAGTAAGGGGTACCTCTCGCACAGGGATGAGGGGGTCTTGAAATGGGCCGGCTCAGGAAAGCCGTGCTCCACGTTGCTTGCGGCGGGGGATGCTTTTGGCCTTGAAATCCCCATGTACAGAGATGAGCACTGTGATCCAAGCACCCAGTCGACCTGCCAAGTGACAATCGAGCGACACAATTGGAGATGCACAGATTCTTCCCCTTCGAATATTGCTTGGCCCCCACGACCAAGTTTGCTCAAATCTGTTTGGAGTAGGTTCAGATCGGCTCAGGCCCCGTTGTCCGACCACAGGTGCAATCCTACTGCTGGCATGAAAGGATGACAAGAGCTTTGGAGGGCTTTCGAGAAAAAGCCAGCAGTCCCACCTATCGGTGGCATTCCCGCATGTTTGTAGATTCCCAGTTCATTGTCCTTCAAATGTTGTCGCCGCGGATGGAATCCTACAGATGAAGACTCACGGAGAACTCTGCGTGAACTTGGACGTGCCCGTTGTGTTTGAAGGGGATGCCCCGACATGTCAATGGAGGTTCGAGGGCCCCCCCCCAGAAACCCCTATGCCCATTGGTGTTGCCATCTGAGGAAAGGGAACCAACGGATCCCATCAGATGGGAGGGGAGGTACGCTGATCAATTCCATGGGTTTACTGCCTGGTTGCCCATTCCTGACTTGGTCAACTCAGACTTGGATATCGACTGGTGGTACACACTTCATGGCTGCCAAGCTCCCACTGCCTCTCATGTGCATTCTTGCTCTGACTGGCGATATCAGCACAAGCCGCGCTCTGTCTCGCGGCGCCGAGAAACCAAGAGATAACATGGCTCTTGCCGGCCGGCAATGGGGCGAACTTTTGGGGGGTAAACGTGTCAGTCGTGACAAAGATGCACCCACGCCCCAAGTTTGTGGTGGAACTCTGCAGAGGCTATTTAGGAAAAGAGCACAGGACAGCGGATGATGCCACAAGCTATTTACTCTAGCTCGTCTAGACCCAGCGGATGATACGACAAAAGGTAAGCACTGGAAGGCCGGACACGATGTCACCGCCCTTGTAACCCAGTTATCCCAGATGCAAATCCAAATCCACATGCTCCGAGTGAGGCTCTTCATGCATCAATGGCAACTTAGTGGTAGCGCAAGAGAGTTATTTTTACATATGTGTATACACACACACATCCCCACTTTTGGCGTCCCCCGTATGTTCACGCATTGTGTGGGGTTCGAGACGTGACCTTTGACGCAGCTTTGCTCGGGCGCGGTGCCCCCATGGCCCCCGGATGGCGAGAGCGGGCTGGCCGCTTGGGCCGAAGGGGCGGATGGCTTCCCTCTTTTTCGGTAGCGTTGAAGAGAACCTAAAGGGAACCAAAGAAATCCAAGGCCCCCTTCGAGACCCACTTTGGCACCACGGATTCCGCCATCAACCGTGACCATCACATGAATGATATTTACCACCTCTTCCACGAATCATGCACGATCTTTTAGACGTGATTCCCTTGGAATCAGTGAATCAGTCCTGTGGGCTCAAGGCCTTGCGAAATTTGATGCTAACGCTAAGCCAATTACAGCTCGCCAACGGTTCAAGCGCCACGCATGAAGATGTCTTGCTTGGGGGGGGGGTGCGCTCCTTTTCAGGCAGGTGAGTCAAGTGATTTGACCACCCAGACCCATGAACAGCCGCACAGCCGCCCCAAAAGCCCGCGGCCACTTCGTGGGAACCCACGATTCCGGCAACTGGTGCGTTGGGAGCATGGCCACCCTGTTGCAGCGCTTGTCAGCTAGGCATTGTGTTCCCGCAGTAGCCATGGGACCAAAGGGGTCCTATTCGCCGGTGTGGTCTCGCGAAACTCATTTGCGGGTAGCTGGATGGACTTCTTCCATCAGAAGCAACCCGAACGACATGCGCCAGGCGGCTTTGGGGTGTTTCGTTGCCCACAGCCAGAGCATTCCGCAAAGCCGGAAGATACCCATTGATCTTGTGTTTTGCTTTTCATTGAGTCGACACGTTGGAGCTGCCCCCTATTCTTTGACGACAATGCTGACGTGAATGTGTCTATGAATTTGTATATACTGTATGTATATACACATGCGGGCGTATATACAAATGCGGGCATAGACAGAAGTACTCAGATCTACAGCAACACAAATATATATATATATATATATATTCACAGATACATGCAACGGATAGATGTTGAGCTCGATATAGACATGCACATTCCTTCCACGGGTTCTGCCGGGGCCGCCGAATGCCCGTAGGCTCGTGGCCCTACCGCTGGCCTCGTGTGCCCAGGGCCAGGTGCAGGCTGGAGCAGTTGACGAGTTCTCGCAGGAGAATGACGCAACAAGCAAACCGTAGCCTATGAGTAGATACAGCAGATACATTTGCACGCAGCACGCATATATATGGTCCCGTGTTCCGTGTTGCTACCCCCCCCCCCCCCCCATATGGTATGGGTCCCCCAGACCCCCCCCCCCCCCGGCCCGAGACCCCGAGCCCCCGGATCCTGTCACCTACAGTCCCACCCCCACCCCGACCCCCTGAACTGGCACCCCGACACCCCGGCACCCCCACCCCCAGGACAAGCCAACCCGCAACCAACCATAAACCAACCCTAAACTAACCCTAAACGAACCCTAAATACACCCTAAACCAAACCCGAAACCGTAGACCTCTAAACCTAAACCAACCCTAAATCCACATAAACCAACCCTAAACTAACCCAAACCAACCCTAAACTAACCCCAAATGCACCCTAAACCAATCCCTAAACAATAAACCCTAAACCCTAAATACACCCTAAACCAAACCCTAAACCGTAGACCTCTAAACCTAAACCAACCCTAAACCAGCCCTAAATCAACATAAACCAACCCTAAACCAACCCTAAACTAACCCTAAATACACCCCAAATGCACCCTAAACCAATCCCTAAACAATAAACCCTAAACCTAAGCCAACCCTAACCAACCCTAAACTAACCCTAAACCAACCCTAAATACACCCTAAACCAAACCCTAAACCGTAGACCTCTAAACCTAAACCAACCCTAAACCAACCCTAAATCAACATAAACCCAACCCTAAACCAACCCTAAACTAACCCTAAATACACCCTAAATCTACCCTAAATCAATTCTAAACCAACCCTAAACCACCACAACCCAACCACAGGACCACAACCACAGGGGGGGGGGGGGGTACTTGTCTGACCCATGACCATTGGTGGGGGGGGGGGGGTGGCAACGCTGTACGATATATATATATATATATATGCATGTATATATAGTCTATATATCTATACAGTTGTTTTTTGAACAATACATTTATGGGCATGTAGAAGTAACACATACATATGTGTCCAGCAACTTGCTTGCTCACTGGCAACTCGTTTTCCAACTTGAAGTGACCACTTTTGCCATGGCCATGTGGCAGCCCAGGTCCGACTGCCAGAAAAACACCTAGTTCAGACCAGCGGGGCGCACCAAACACGTCCCATTCAAGATTGGCGGTTGATCTCTGGCCCTCTGACCCGAGCCGAAGACCCGACCGCCCTGCAGCAGGCGCCCTGGTACTTTGACTGCTCCAACAACCCCGCAGGGTGGCACAGAGTCGGGGCATGGCTAGGTCGGGGCATCCAGGCGTTCGCTTTTGACAATGCGCAGTCATGTTTTTTTTGGTTTTTGGTGTGGTTCAAATTGCTATGTAAACAGTTCAATTGTTTGTTTTGTGTTAGTTCACAGCAATTATATCTAAACAGTTCTTGCTTGTACACGACTCTTTTTCGAGATGTCATTTCCGCGTTGCTCGCTGACTGCAACGAATCAGCTGGTTTGCTTGGTGCACCCAACAGAAACGAGGACCCCCGGCGATATGGTTTTCAAACGTGGACGTTTAAAGGAATTGTATCCGAAAAGATTTGGTTCGGATCACCTGATACCTGCAACACAGGTTCCAGAGCCGTCATTGTTCGGCTTGTAAGATCCAGGACTCCACTCTCTCTCTCTCTCTCTCTCTCTCTCTTTTCTGAGATCCAGGATAGCCTAAATTGGTTTAAGCACACAACGCGATCCTTTAGGCCAATCTGGTTTTCGCAGACAAACCGTGGTCCTTTTGAAGGACATCTAAACTTTGGAGTTTGCCAGGAGTGGAGCCGCTTCCGGCGCCGCTTCGCCGAGTTCCGGAAGCTCTTCGAAGCGCCGGAGCGGGTGGCCGGGTGGGCGCTTCGGGGGCTGGAGCTCTGTGGCTCGGTAGCTTTGTAGCTCTTGCGCTGCTTCCTTCACAACCTTCACAAGGACCACAGCTGGCCTTTTCCAATTCGATTTCAAGGTGCATATGCCGACATGCAGATGTCGCTTGCCATCCTGCTTGGCTATGCGATGACTAATTGCAAAAACAGCTTCTTGGCTCCTCCTGCGTACCAATTAAGGATGATGAACCTTGCCACCTCTCTACCTTGATTTCGGGAATCGCTGAATGCACGTGCACGAGAGCCGGCCCAAGCATAGTCTGTGAAACGGTGACTGGCTAACGCAAGGTATCTTAATTTGGAAGGTGCTTGAATGCTCATGGTCCATGAAGGGTGAACAGAAAACACGCTGTGTTCGCCGAACACTGCAACCGCCACCAGGCTCCAGCGTTCGGATCGCGGCCTACTTTGCCTCGAAGTTGCTGTTCGCGCCAGGACCGAGACGAGGCGAAGGTGATCGAGGAGGTGCAGCAGGCGTGGATCAGCTGCCGGCTCCGTTCACACTCGTTTTGATCGCCCAAAAGAAACCGGGCGGGGAGGGAAGAGGGGCACCAGAGGGAGCGGGGGCACCGGGGACAAACATCAACCAGAATCAGAGGCGTGTTTGGGAGCTTGGTGGTACTCTGCCAATCCTTGGGCTGTATGCAACTCCAGACGGATGCCTGGCCCAACTCACTTGAGCACTCAAATTGTGACTCCAACGTTTTGATCATTGGAGTGGACCTGTTAATCACACCCTCAAAAGATGCATGTCAGCGGTCATGGCTGAGGTTGGGCAAACATGGTGCCGAATCCCTAGATGCACTTGTGTGCTTCTGGATGGCTTTCCAGGGTTGCTCATGGCTGGTAAATGAACATTTTGATTTGTAAGGAGTCCATATGCTAGGTCCTGGGGCAAGCCTGACGCGGAATGCATTTGATTTACTGCAAATCACAGAGTGTGTTGATGCGCTTCTGCCTTCCGATCGTCAGCCCAACATGTTCTGGTACATCCCGTTACTTTTAACATTCTGTACACACTTCCACTTCCCAACAAGAGCCACGCGTGAAATCAAGTAAGTTCTACGAGTAGCTAATCGAAGTGCTGTGGCGAGTACTCGATATCTTTTCCATGACATTGTTTGCTCAGCAGCTGTACAGACGATAGACGGCTGGCGTTGTTTATGTTCAACTTGCCAAACCCATATATATTTCCAGGGAGCATGCTAGCGTAGAAGCGGTCAGTTAATGCATTTTGGCACCATGGCAAGAAATTAGTGAAAGATCTTCCATGCCAAATCCACATATGCCAGCTCTCAATGGTGCTGTTTGCTCAAGAGTTTCTGTTCCGTTCAGTGTCTTAGCTACAGACATTGATTGATGCTTTCCCGAAGGGAAGCCAACCATTTCCGGTATTTCCGTTTGCCCTTCTCATGTGTAGCAGAACAGGACAAATATGCCTGTGTGTGGAGTCTTCCTTCGCACAACAAGCAACATCACGCACCATCCCATACCAAACCGCCCGTGTTTTGCGCGCGGATGGCGGCCTTTCAGCTCGCAGGTGCTCGCAGAGGCCAACGACCTCGGGAGGCGCTATGAGCCCACATTCGCGGCTCGGCGTGGGCTTTGTCTTGTTTTCTTTAGTTCGGCGGGCTTTTTGATGGATTAAGAAGGTTTGGAGAGTGACTTGTGAGCGGTGGATGTTGCGGGAGGTGCTTGCAAGGAGTCAAGAAGCATAGAACAAACAAGGAGCTGATTGGGAACGGGGATCCGAGGATCACTAGTTGCAGGCTGCCAGTTGAGGGCCGTGAGTTGCTTATTTGTGTAAAACCATAACAACAGTCACTTGCCAAAGTTGCAAGTTGAGGGGCACTACAAAAGGGCTGCAATGCCATTCTCAACTGATCTGTGAGAAGGCACGGGAGAACTTCAAACCTGTCTTAGCAGCTTCAGGCAGCTGGTGGCGACCATTTGGTGTCTCTCAGAGCGAAAGGGAAAGAACACTATGTAGTTGCTACACTTGGACTCAGTGGACACCATTTGGGGCTGTAAACATCTACTTCAGATGACTGTTCAAACAAATGGCCTTCTGCCTTCTGCCAACTGCCGTGGATCACCAAATTCGAAGAGCTGCGAAACAGATGCAACCTTCCAACATTCAGCTGATCAGATTTATCTGGCTTTTTCAGATGGAGCCAGTTCCCCGATCGGAGGGATGTCTTTCAACTGGCTGGAGGGGACTGTCATTGCGCATGTTCCTCTCAAATGGTTGACCTGGGTCCCTACTGTGAGGTTCCAGGTTTGGTGTGGCGGCAAAGCAGCCCAAGGACCCAAGCGCCGTGCAAAGGAGCAAAGGATCAAATGAGGTACTCAAGACCCACCCCTAGCCAGAAGCTCAGGTACAGTATGCCAGCGATTGGTCGGTCTTCCACCTCTGCAACCCAGACCGTTTGTCCCTGGTGCCAGAGGACACTGCTTTAGACTTGGCGGTTGTTTTGCCAGCGCACCACGCAGACCCAGCAGTGAACCCGGCAATTTGAAAGTTGCGGGTCTTTGGCCTTGGGATTCAACTCATTTGAACTTGTCCCTAGCTCCAGCAAGCCCCAGCCATGCGCTAGCGATCTCAAAACTTCCTTTTTGTCAGCCTTCGGGAGCGAACCAAACACGTGGGTTCCCAGGCGAGCTCTCAAGCAAGATTCACATTTTTCAGATTGCACAGGACGAGTCAGAAAAAGCCAGGCTCAATGCACCGAACTCGCTGCACTGGCCAAAGCCGTCTTACACCACGGTGGGGTGCACATGTCAACAGGTGGGTCGCTCCGTAAAAAATCGACGTGTTGCTCGTTGCGTTTACACAAAGCAAGCCCTAGACGTGCGAGGTGCTCCGAATCTGCCCCGTTTCGGCCCGGGCAAAGGGACCCATGCGCGTGAGGACCTGCAGACCGACTTCTGCTTTTACGGCTTCGCCACGGTCCAATGGCGCCCTGGCGGAGTTGTTTTTGAGCAGCAACCTGGGAGCATCGAGATGGTTTGAGGCCCGCTTGAGTGGTTGAATTCAGCCAAGCTTCCATGGGATGGTCAGAGGGGAAAACACTGTGAAGTGGTTCCTTGACCTTGTTCGAAAGCAAAAGGCCGAGGCTTTGTGTCCATTTCCAGCAACATCAGGCCTCAACAGCGCTTTTGCAGTGAGCTCGCACCCTTGACGTCATGACTTCTCATGGACAAGATGTTTGACCTCCTGAACATTTGTCTCTGGAGTTGATAAGTATCAGCCCGGTGTTGGCCCCAAAGTTCTTTGATGATGGTTGAAGAGAGGTCTTCTTGGTTGTGACTACCTGAATAGAACGGGTTCTTGCTGCCATATTCGATTCAAAATCGGAAATTGCACGTTCTCCGAGCTTGGACCCAAGATTTCACTGTGGTGCACTGCCTTTTCCAGTTGACGTCAAACACCTTCAAACAAGCATCAGTGGCATAGCTCAGCTCTTTCAGACCTCGATCATATCCTTCAACTTGGGGTACACTGGTTGGGACCAAGACATGCCCATTGCTCGTTTTTTTGCATGTGCCAAACAAAAAAATCGGACGGTTTTTGTTTTTGTTTTTCATACTGTGGTATTAAAAAGAATGAAGAATTGGGAGTTTTGCGCCAGCCCCTTTCAGGCGCTAGAACGAAGAAGTTCTGAGGCTGGGGCTCTTTGGGCACTCGCACTTCAGCAACGTGCCGGGCATGTCGGAGTGGGCCCACAACGCCTGGGGCGAGGCGCCCAGCTGGGGTTTGAGGTAAACAAGTCGTCCAAAGAGTCTTGGAACGCCCAAGGGCAAACCTGGCTTGGGCCCTTGGCATGAATTGGGAAATCGGAACTGGGGTCAGAGGCATGGGTGGCTAGGGTGCACTGGCAGTTTTGGTTGGTCCAGTCGGGCCCGCTTCGCCCTGGGTGTATCACGAATTTCTTGGAGTGGCTTGGAGGGTGTCTTGGCAAAGCCGAGGCTTTCTCAACGACGCCTCCAAATTCAATGCCATGCACTTCTTGGTGCCGTGGCGGGTAAGCATGCGGCTCGGGGTGGCGGGGAGCCGACTCAGTGAACCCCCAGTTCCTGGAAGTTGTTCAGATGAGTCACAATCAAAACCAGGGTAAATGAAGGTTAGTAAGGGGCAATCCCAGCCATAAATGGTTGCGGCTGCCTTTTCAATTCCTTACATAGTTCTGGGTTCACCATTTTTGTACCAGGTTTTGATCATGACTCAGATGGTGACGCAAGCGCCGGCACACGCTGTTGAGCCTTTGAGTTCAGAGTTGGGAATTCAGCTCCAGGCTTCAAGGCTTCGAGGCTTCGAGGCATGGCCTCTGATTCCAGCCACAGCGATAGACGAGCCGCCTGCTGCTCAATGCCCAGGATGTTGCGGTTGTTTGCTTGCCAACGTGCAAAGACGCAGGCCGTGTTTGACGTGAACCAGGATGCTAGTGGTTGGCAAGAATGACGGCCTTCAGTGGCAGACTATTCACAGCTCAAGCATTTGCTATAGGCCGCAGTTCCAGAACCTGTTTTCCCAGCCAACTATGGCAAGGTTGCCTACGACCGAACCATGATTCTAGATGACAGACTTTCGGATAGGTGCATCCGCTGTCTTGTCTGAAGATATGCCTACCGTTTCCTGATCTGGATGTCTAAGAGAACCCCCACAACACGGGTAGTGTCCTGTTGGTTTCCCTTTTGACATCATCCAACCCGTAACCCCTCTGAGCAACATTTGGGGGGGCCCGTTTGAGCTGAGGAAAGCTCCGGCTGGACGGTGAAGATGGTGGAGATGGCCAAGTCTTTGAGCAACGCCTTCATGGCCAACTCGCAGTACAGGCCAAGAAGTGTTCTTTGCTTCTCTGCTTGTGTCGTTGTTTTGCGAGCACATGTTTTTGGTTGCTTCAAAGTGGAGACCCAAAGGAAACTCGCCAGGGGGGGGCCATTGTTTAGAGAGGAGCCCATTTCAGGCGGGGATGCGCATGGGGAACCTGGTGGCTTTCAGTTGGAGCCTTCAAGTTTGGGCCTCTCACATGGCCAGCGCCTGTCGATCACGAAGGAATCGAGACGTTCTGGTCGTTTGATGGGATCAGGTCCGGGAAGTTCATCACATGAGCCACAATCAAAACCTGGGTAGATGAAGGTTAGTAAGGGAAAATCCCAACCAAAAATAGCTGCGGATATCCGCCTTCTTAATTCTTTACATGGTTCTGGGTCAACCATTTTAATACCGGGTTTTGATTGTGGCTCACATGTCCAACCTTAGCACAGAGTCACTCCATCTCGCGGCCGCCGTGGCCGGCTTTGTATGGGGGCATTGGGTCAGGGTCTCCCGGGACGCCGCGCTGCCGGCGGCCCTCTCCCAGCCGGGCCTCATTGTGCGGAAGAAGCCGGACCACACCAGGCAAGTTTGTTCCATTGGGTTGACGCCTTCTGTTGTGTCTTCGATGTTTTTTGGCTTACAGCAGCCGGATGCAGCAGCCGGATGCATGCTCCTGGGTTTTCCGCCAAGGTTCCTGGTGAAGGAAGCTGGCGCAAGCTGCCTGTCAGGTCAACATCCTACGAACCAAAATGTGTTGGCAGCATGTTTACACCAAATTCGAAGTGGCTAGAGTGCCAGGAATCTCTTGACTTTGGACTATGACATCTGAGTGGAGGGAAGGCCACCTGTATGTACGTTATCTCTATATATATAGGTATATGGGTAAGGCGGTCCTGGTGATGAATGCAGGCCAGTTCTTTGCCATGCTGTTTCCCATGTCGAAGTGAAGTGACGAGCCGCTTCGTTCTCGCATCAAGTCCTGAATGCCTTGCCACTTGGCAGGTTTCTCATCTGGCGCGCAACATGTTGATTTCATCTGCGCTCGAGCTGAACTGGCTTACCGGCAGACATGTGGTGCTAGGAGCCAACTTGTTGGGGACGGCGGGTTCGTAATCTGGAGGTTTGACAAGCGATGGCGTGTCAAGTTCAGCAATGCCTCAAGCGTACCTGAAGTGTACAACTTGCAATTCAGGCCTCTTTCTTGATAATCCTACAAAATCAGCAGGTTTTCCCGGCGACAAGCTTTGGCAGACAGGGCGTGTTCCTATGTGGACACTCCGTTCCGAGTAGATCATGCGTCCTCGCTGTGTCTGGCCTCAGCTGGCTTGGGCGTTGTGTCGAACTTGGAGTAAACCTTGCGGATGGAGGGGCGTCTCCCCAAACGTGAAGGGTTCCCTCAATGGGGAACTCTCCGTTTTTTTATCAACGATCCTGGGTTCCCAGTAAAGATTTTGGGTACTCTGCGGGAAGTTGCCTCATCCCTGAATGGTCTGATTTGTTTGTCAATGCCGGATGATTCAATGCAATGATCAACGCCTTCATTTTTTGTTTCTGTTTTTGAGGGAGGCCCTTTTTGAGATTGGTGTAAACTCAGGCAACCCTGAATTGGTGGTTTGGGGATTTGACCCCGGGTTCTTGTAGAGGGTAAATTTGAAACCGCCCCTTGCCACCAAAACCAAACCACCAACTAGCGGGAAACTGATAAACAAAACGGATGCCAATCATCCCCTATTTCAACACATGCCTATATCAATTAGTTTTCACCCCAGGAGAACTCCGCCGGAGATTGTCCTGTACCTCAATCTCTCGACCTCGAGTGATTCTGCTAGAAACCTCCAAGATCTTGTTTGCGAGCTCAAACCTCACCCCGGCCTTTGAGCATCAGGGAGGATTTCAACAGACCTCACCTGCTGAAACATACGAACAACGGGGCGGGGTGGGGAGTGGGGGGTGGGGGTGGGGGGTGAAAGTCTGCGGTTTCGGGGGCTCAGACTGAAGCGGACAGTTCGATTCGCCAGGCTGCCGCAGGTTCGGCGCCTCAAAGCGGTGGCCATCTCGTGCCGGACCGAGCGGGCGGAGCGGGCGGCCGGCACCGGGACCCGTCAACAGTATCTCAGTTTTGAGCCACTTGGTGCTGGGGTCGTTTGACTTACTCCAGTTTGTTCAAGAAAGAAAGCCACTGCAACTTGCACAGCTGGGGTAAAAAGGCTTGGCGGCTTTGCACGGACTATGGGCCCAGAGCAATGTTGAAACACAGATGTTCCAAGTGTCCTCTTTCACTCAGACAGTCAGATGTGACGGTCGACTATCAACATGTGCTTTGGATGTGGGCATCCTTGATCAAGCTGGGAGATTGGTGCGGCCTGGCACTGGTACAACTCAAAGTGGCAAAAGGCGTTGCACAGCGGCAGGCCGGTAAACTGCTGGGACATGACCGATGTTTAGAAAGCACCACCGCCTGCCATTTCATTCCACCAGCAAGCGTTTGCAGGAGCGGGTTTCCTGAACGTCCCTCGGTCAGTTGGGGAGATGCAAGAATCATGAAACCAGGCAGGCAGCGTTTGCACAGCCAGGTACCACACCGCACTGATCCGCGAGCCTTTGACTTTCTGGCGGCTTGGTCGCCAACGTATGTGTGCAATATCCGCTGCAAGCAGGGTCTTTGTGCATTGCGCGCGTTTGCAAGAAAGCCAACTACAAAGAGTGGTAGAGACTGCAGCTTGAGCTTCCAGGCGGAGTGAGTTGCAGGCAGCAGTTTCCGTCGTATCATTCGCCGTGGGTCATAGGCTCCGAAGCTGCAGAAGTGCCGGTCAGCACGCACCGAGATTTCTCTACATTTGCTTGATGTCCGTAAGATTTGTATGGGCATATGTTGTCCTGACAGTGTAAAGTCCATTGAAAGTGGTTGACGGTCAACCGGATAAACTCGCGTTGGGCCTTGCACAGCAGCAGATGTCCTCTTTTAAGCGGCGGATCTACTTGGACGATGCTGCCTTCCACGGCAGGAAGCATGGCTTCCCATGCGATCCTACACTCACCGATCAAAGAGGAATAAGCTTGTGACAGGTGATTGGTAGACCCCGGGCCCCAGACAATCAGCATGCATTTGGTGGCGTCTCGCCGGAAAGACCTGGTCGCCAGCTTTGAAAGGATTGCCAAACGCAAACAAACATACCATTGACCGCAGCCTGCTGACCTTGGGCAACACACCAACATATATGACATTTGGACTTTTTGGAGTGCTGCGGGATTTCTCTCATTTTCTTATCCAGAAATTCCATTGTCAACCGCCCCCCCCCCCCCAAAAAAAAAAAAGAGAGTCGAACAACCACAAGTCATGGCGAGTTTCTACTGTTGGAATCATCATGGGATAGCACACCCCCAAAGTCCCCGCATTTGGATTGATTTCCCGAGGCAGCACATGCTCACGCACCTCTTCGAGGTAGAGCCCACACTGCACATCCTGGACGCCACCGCGAAGACCGCCGAGGCTGATCTTCGGGGTGGCAAATGGGCCGGTGGCTGTTGGTTTTTGAAGATTTGCCTAGGAAACCAAAGGGGACGGGCCATTGTCTTGGATGCTGCCAGACTTATGTAGCATCCAGCTTGCGGTCAGATCGATGACCCTTCAAAACAGTTGGTTCCCTTTTGCATAAAATGTGCTCCAACAAAGGACAGTTTGACATACCGTGTGGAAGCTTCTGGTTTGACTGATGACTCAGGTGGACACATGACTAGCCTTGCGCATGCAGCACGGCGGCCGTGAGGACGTGGCACGCCTTCACAACCACTGCCGATTTATTGCCGGGCCCCCGGAGCTTGGGGCGAGAGCGTGTGATGGCCTTGTCGTGATGGAGTTGAACTTGGCTGAGCAGACTGCGTCATGGGATTGGCTTCAAGTTTGTCCAAAAAAGGACCTAAACATTGAATTGGCTTTTACTTCACTGAGATGCTCCAGCAACATTCAACCTGGAACCCTCAAAAGGTGCTTTGAGACTCTAGTGTGTCGAAAAGGGGGGGGAACCCGTCCAAATCCCTAAGAGGTATCAACAAAGACGGGCCCAAAGAACCGGAGCAAAGCCGAGTTTTCTCGGCTCACCGCACGCCCAGGGTGGCGCCTGGTGTGCGGCGGACGAGCGGCTGCTGCAGCTGAACGAGCTATTCCAAGAGGTGTTGCTGGACTGCCACACCGGGGATCACAAGGCCCCGAAGCAGAATGGGGAGAGGGCCGGTAGCAGGGGAGGGGAGGGGAGGGAAGGGAGGGGAGGGGGGCCTTGACAATGGTCCCGTGGGGCCGGTGTTATCCGTGCCGCGAGCCCTTTGCAGCGTCAAAGTCGGCGGGCTGCTGCGATTGGATCCGTTAACAGGCAAGGCCAGACCACAAGTGCAGGGGTGTCTTATGAACACAGCCCCTCCCCAAAGGGTTTGTTTTCCAGCCCGCTTCGCTTATGGGTCCGGTTTTCGGTGAGTTGCGGGGGGGAAGTGTCGGGAGCCCTGCGCTCGTCTCAGAGGGGTTTTCGCCATGGCCCCCGGCAGGCGCGGCACCACTTCCTGCGCTCGGCCGCCCGGCCAAAGGTCTTGGCCTGTGCGGAACCTTCCAGGTTCTTTCTTCTGCGTGGGATTGGGATTTTTTTGCGGGTCGAGCCCTTCTTGGAAGATTCGTTTTTTTGAGTCTGGAACTGGAGCAGGGATCGCAGTGCTGCAGGTCAATCTCAGGTTCCTTTCGCTAGGCCTTGAGGGATGTGGAGATTTCAACCAGTTGCAGACCAATCCTGTCAGGATATTACGCGCTGCACAATCAAATAAGCCATTGTAGTTGTCAACCAGAGCCAATGCAGTATGACCTGCTGCTCAGATGCACTAGCAACGATGTCCAATCTAAGGCACATATTTCCTAGATTCCTAGAACGGGATTGACTGGTGCAGCAAGGCGGGTCTCCGGGCGAAGAAGTCAGCCACCCCCTGGCATGGCAGATTGCAAAGGGCAACACATTTTGCTGCTCCGAATATTCACGTCTTTCTGTTTTCCTCGATTGTTATGCATTCGGATGATGGGACCTGCGTCCTGCTTTGCTCCTGGACTTTCGCCGCTGGAGCTTGGCTGAGGCAAGTTCGAGGCTGCCCTTTGTTGTCTATCCCCTGCATGGGTTGGCATGTTTGCCAACCACTCGTTTGCTCATGTCTGCCGAATAGGATCATCTGATTTAGATATTATTGTGTCATCCATTTTACCCATATGAGCAACTGTCTCTATTTTTCAAAGGCTACAGTAAGGCCGAGCGGACACATTTTTTGGGTCACATGTTAAACACATGCTGCGCTGGAGAACGAGGTCCATGAGTCCAAACGTGCGCAGGCTTGGAGAAGTTGGGAACACCCTACCATTCAGCCTTGTAGCAAATAACTGCCGTAGCTCACACAATCACATGCCGCTCACGTTTTCTTTCCGGAGACAAAAAAACAATCCTTCGCCATTTCCGTCGAATCTGCGCGGGGCTTCCCAGGCTCAGGAGTACCACGACCGCTTCCTTCGGCTCATGGGAAACGACCAGCAGCTCCGGTCCGCGGACGCTCGGAGCGACCGCGCCGAGCTTGTCCACGGAGCATGTTGATCCAAAGCACCGTGTCTGCTTGCTGGTTTTTGGTTGGTTTTGGTTGGCTCAAGGCGACAAGCAGTCAGAAAAAAATGGCCTGTTTTTTTGTATCACGGAAAGGGGGGTGTCTTTTTTTCGGATATCTTTTACACGTTTTGGAGTCCCTCACCAGAGGTGAGGAGGAGGGCCAACATCCAATGGCTCAACCACTGGGGTGGGCTTTTTGAAGCATAAACCCTACATGTGTGTATATATATATATATATGTACATGCATATGCATGATACGCTTGTATAGATAGGTACTGGGTATAAAGGGTATGTCTGGGGTGTTGGGTTTGGAAAGCTTGTGTCCTTTCCTCCGTCGGCTGAAGAATTGCGACTCCTTTTGCAACGGAAACCGACAATGGCTTTGTGTTACAAGCAGCAGCCTGTTGCAAGCAGGCAGGTGGGAGTTGAACCAAACACACGCAAGGCACTGATTCCAGTTTCGGCCAAGTGTCGCGGGAGGGCCCATCAGTGGACAGCGCCGTCCTTGTGAAGGTTGCCAACCAGGCTTTCTGTTGTGCGGCTCTGTCGAAGGCCAGATTGCAGACAACATGTTTCACACGTTTCATCCCTAGCAACTCGCATGCTTCATACTTGACAGGGCCAATTCAGGGACCTGCAAACCAGGCACCTGTATTACTCCCATACCTGGCGGCCTAAGGAACTAGGTGCCAACAAAAACGTCGGGAGTGGGAGTATGGGAGTGCCATGAAGGGGTTCCTGTTTTGAGGGTTGAAGTTGCCTGAGAAGCAACGCCCGAGCATTCTGCTTTGTTTTCAGCCCACAGTCTTGGAACCCAAATCACTGGACATGGTCCCTACCCCAACCCCTCCCATTTTTGGCGGCCGTTGAAATCCCTCGTGTTCTTTTGTCCATTTTCCGTGGTTTGGTGACAGACCTCCGAGGACTTCTTCATGTGTGGCGAGCCGGTCCTGTTCTGCCGGCTGCTGAGCTACTTTGGACAGCCGGTCATCGGCTACATCTCTACGCCCATCTCTGTGTATGCTGCAGCCTCGGCCAGCCGCGAATGCTTGAGGCAAAAACATCAAAGCGATACAACCATTTGTTTATGTATATGTGTATATACATGAATACATACATATGCAAATATTCACAAAGGCCTCCATATACATTGTGCACTTTTTGTATATACACATAAGCAGGCGCGCACACACGCCCACCATTGCAGCAATGTACGTGCTTCAGGAAAACAAAACCACACAGACACATTGAGGCTACTCAGATAGAGAGTTTTTGAGCGCTTGCAGCACGTGTGCAAGTTTAAACATTGCATTCTGAAGATTGGTTTTCAGTTGCTTCAGCTTTTCCCTTTACGTGCAGCAGCCTCAGCCAACTCACTCCCTTTGCACTTGTGAATCTTGCACTAACGCCACGAGCATCCATTGCACACTGAGGCCATTGAATGAACAGTCAGCCGCGCCATTTTGTGAGTGGTGACAACTGTAATTTGTACTTCGGGTGGTGGGCGTCCTCAGAAGGCATTTTTGCAGAAATCACCTGAGGTCAGAAGCGAAGATCGTGCGGAATGGTACCAGCAGTTCTACGATGCTTTGGCTGCAACGGAGGCAACCTTCCTTGGATGAGCCTTAGATATCACTTGCCGGATCGAATGTAGTTGTCCAATTGCACACTACAGGCTCTGACAGAATGGAAGCTCATGAAGGTTTGTTTGGTGTTTAGCATCACCTGAAATTCACCGCGCATCTTCCCTAGTGTGCCAGCTAAGCCAGCTAGTTTCACCCAAGGTGAAGTGGAGAGAGAAACCGTTTCTGTCTTCGCGCCAACTGCTTAGAAGCAGCCACGTCCAAGAAGAACATTTTGAGTGGCGGAACTTGTGGGTTAAACACCGTGCTGCTGCTTCAATCTTCGGAAGGTTGCAAGGGACTTTGGTCTCCAAATATTTTCCAACCGGGGGGAAACCTTGTCTTCATAACGCCCTCGTCTTGAACTCTTCTTGCAAGTTGGCCTGCAGCCAGTATCCCAAATCAGAAAGACCCCCGCGGACCTTTCTCACGTGCTGGGTTTGCTGTCATGAATTTCTATCCTGTTCAGCGGTGCCCTGTCCCTGAATCCTTTTGTGGGTTGTCTTGCCCGCCGTACCAGCCAAAAACCGTGCCAGCTTTTTTAGTAGTAGTGAACCCGACAATTGTTCCTTCAGTTGTTCAATTGTAGTTTTGCGTGGTAGTCACTGTGGTTTCCGACTAGAAGCGCTGATGGCCGCTTGACACCGCATCCCAGGAGATGGCGCTGGACGATCGGCACATCTTCGCAGCCACCACGCCAATCTTCGCTGAGTGGGTGGCGTGCCCTGGATGGAGCGGGACAGGTTGAAGGCCATGAAGCACTCCATTCTATTTCAGGGTGTCTAGCAGAAGCTGGCTGTCGCAGAACCTTTGTCACGAGGCCGGCATTGACCCCAAGGCAAATGAATGCACCGGGTCGTTGGTTAGATGGCGCTGCCTTTTCTTTGAAGTGTGCTAGGTACGCCACCGGCATCGACCTCCCAGTGATCCGGCCGATTTGCAGCTACACGGAGGCAGGGGTTCACCGGCATGCGTGAGGATGGGCTCCAGGATCCTGAGATTGCTCCAGGAAGACCCTGGTGAGGAACTCGCCATAGTTGATGCTCATGTCGCCCATGTCGCTACTTGTGAGCCCAAACGCACATTCTAGACCTGCGCACCCGCTGGACAGACCATCTGCAGCCCAAAATGATGTTCACTCCCTGTACTCTGACAACCAAACACGGCATCCCCCAGGGATTAGTTCGTGGCCAGGCACAACTGCAAAAAGCAGCAGGCCTCAATGTTTTGGAACATGCAGACAAATTGGCACGGCAGGCGAACTAGGAACAACAACCGCTGACGGCTGCAAAAAAGGGTCGTCTGAAAGCAGTTTTTACAGCTTTTCCATTGAACCCCCTGGGATTTCAAATCCGAAGTCCTGGTAACCACTATCCATTCTGAGTGTAGCCCAAAATGGGGATGGGCACAAAGCGCTGGAAGGGTAGTCGACTAGGTTTCTTTGTTTTTGACAAGAAGGAGACAAATCGGGTGGGGCGGCAACGCAACCTTGTTGATGTGTTTTCTGGCCAGTCTACACAGTCCTGTGAGAGCCCTGTTCACAAGTTTATGGCTACTCCTGGGTTGGGGGACGTTTGTTCGAAGTGAGCGGCAATTGGTCTGGAAGCCAACGATTTGCCGAACGCACGGAATTTCTAAAGCTTTACGATGTCCATGTGAAGACGATCGTGTGCCGCCTCCCCAGTTGGGGGGAAGGCAATGGTGGCCCAAATGGGCGATCTCCCTGTGCTTGGCGGCCAATGTGAGGATGATTTTTCGATGATGGTTTTTGCAGAGGATGATTGCAGGATGATTCTTGGATAGGTTTGAGAATAGCCAAATCGATGATTTTTTGAAAAAATAAATATTTCAAGTTTTCCATGGCTGGCTAGACAAATCATAAGCTTGGCCCTGGAATCAACCAACAAAGGCACGGTGACCTGGCTTCAGGTGAGCTACTGGCCTCGGCGCCAAAGGGAGCTGCTGCTTCTCCGCAGCGTGAGCCTTTTCTGGGACACGGACCGAAAGGGGTCCAAAGGAATTCCGGTGCAACACGTGGGGTCGCAAGGCTCGGCACGTGTCATAGACGGCTCCAAAGCTTGGGGGGCGAAGTTGGATCCGAAAATTGTTGACCTCCGCCCAAAAAAGATGCGGCCGATGTAGTGCCTTTGCATGTCTACTGTGAGCCTTCACAGATTGCTTGGCATTTGGAGCGGCCTGGTCTTGCAAAGCTCTCGGAGGGTCACTGAAATCCAACTTGGACATGATATGTCGACAACGCCTTGCTTGCCATGTCCCCAGCTGTTGCTTGCCTCTACCTGCTTGACCGTGAGAGTGGCAGGAGTGTGTGCTCAACTACTTTGCGAAAGCTGTCGCAGGCGCCGGGCTTCGCGTCGGCTGGAGTCTAATCATGGCCACGAGGTTGGAAGGGTTCCGGGGCAGCTGTGAAAGGGTTCTCCGATCCCAGTTGACCAACAAGAATCCGGTAGCAGCTACAGCCAAGGCGCCTTCGAAAAGAGGGCTGGTGCCGTTCGCAGGTGATGAGGAGCCGTACACCTTCAAAGAGTCCACTGGTCTTACTGAGGAGGAGCGACCAGGGTACTGCAGGTGAACTGGTTTGTGTTCTTGAGTCAACTGGGGGTCAGAAAGCGGGGACTCCTAAACTAGCAAGGGTTACCTTTCAGTTTGCCGGTAAACACATCCAAGCGGGGTCCTCAACTGGGTCCTCATGTTTGTCCAACCGCCAAGTTGTCGGGAATACCCACTATGATCAGCGAATGGCTGGAACCATTCGGTTGCAGAATGATAGCTCTTGCTTGCTTGTTGGACCTTGAGCGGTAGTTTGCTGAATTTGTTCTCCAAGAAGGAGCGCCATCCCTTTCCTGCATGTTGAAATTGTGCTTTGAGCGCCGTGAACGATGTTGGCACTCCGCGAGCAAGAGGGCGTTCAGCAGTCGGACATTTTCCAGGTCCGCCCAGGCTGTACTGATTCAGGAAGGACGGCGTCAATGAGGAGCTGTTCTCAAAGTGCGTCCGCTGCAAGAAGTGCTTTTGCAGTCGCGTGTCAACCTTGAGGGGTATCGATTCGCGCCATCCCTCGACTTGTGGCCGGATTTGGCTGCGTCAACCGCAAGCGTAGATTGCATCTCCCAATTGCGGGTGACGACTAGCATCCTTTCACTGGACACTTGTCGGCTTGGTGCCAGCCGTGCTGGCAAAGCGCAGCTTTGCCTCCATCTGACGTGGATGCGCCAAAAGCGTTGTGTTGCTCTCACTTGTCTGCCTGCCACTTGTGAATCGATGCGTCGGGATCGAACGAATCACGCCACGGGGAACTTGGCCGTGTGGTGTCGGTTCTGGTGCTGGCAACGCCCAAACCATTCGCTTGGTGGACCTGATAGAGGTCATGCCTCAAAATCAGAGTGCAGGCAAATGCAATCAGCGAAATTGAAGGAAGATTTGGGCGGTATCGTGTTTGCGCGTTTTCCAACCACATGTGCCTACATTTGGGTCCCTAAGGTGAACGTCAGGTTTGGAACCGCGACATTAGCTTGAGTCAAGGAGTCTAAGTACATGTATTGTGTATGTCGAAAACACAGTCCAACAAAAATGAGAGAATCACTCTATCACTAATAGCCAAAGGCCAGGTGTTGGCAGGTTTCAACAACTGTGAAACGTGTGGCATCATCAGAATACTGTTTGAACGCGTAACAAAAGTCGTCTCTACAACGTCCTATTTAGGGATCTTCGAAACCAGTGAACAGCAGAGAGGCCAACAACTCAGTTTGTCATTCAAGCCCTGACCACTTTTTGTGCCTTTGAGGAAGCACCCAGTCTCATTCGCTCGGAAGAAGCCTGCCCTTGACCTGACCTGACCTTGAGAGAGGAGCGCAAGGGCTACGGCGCCTTTGCCGAGTTCCTCGGGGCGGGGGCCCCAAGGGCCAAGCGGGGATGGGCGCTCGACCAGCTCGGGAGAGATGCCATGGACAGGGGGCAACATGTTCTGCGGTGATGAAGGCATTCGTTGAGTTCTGCGGTACTGATGAAGGAAAAAAGTTGAGAAGTCGTTGTACCCTGGTAGGCGTGTTTGGCAGTGGCAGTGGCATGGGGTTGACTGAGTGTCTTCCCTCACAGCCAATCCCGTCCACGTATTGATTTGCAACATTGCCATGTTGGAGGACAAAAGCCAAGGCGAAGCTACCCCTGCAACTTTCTTATGCCCATTTTGGGTCCACCGTCAGTAAACAGCCTTGGGTGCCTGCGCTTAAGAGTGATCATCAGCCTTTGGATGTGAATATCAAGAACTCTTGAAAGAGTTCCTAGTTTTGAACAGGGCCATGTTGCAACTGGCTGGCCTTGGGGCATTTTTTTACCGCACACCAACAAGCAAACTAGCAAATTGCAGATTTCCAAGCACCGGCCAGTTCACGGAATCATGACACCTCAAGTTTTGGGAATGCTGACTATAGCCCTGGACGCCTTCGTTAGGCGGTGATCTACCCCTACTCTCCCAGCCAGTTCTGGTTCTACGAGCCGCTTGGCTCAGCCAATCCACAAGTAGGTTGTCGATAAACGAGACCTTGGGTCAAAGTTTCTGTTGCAAGGGAATCCCCTGAACAGAAAAATCACCCACTTTTGGCCGACCGTTGCAATACCGTTGCACATTGTCCAAATAAGTGTTTGGTGATGTCACACAACACCACTAGCAAAGCCACATGATATTTCCGTGTTGCAGGGACCGCCCTCCTCAGCAGGAATGAGCAAAACTGTGTTGAGGGAGCGGGAGGCGGGAGGTTGCCGCGAAGACAGTGGCGCAACCTGATACCATGATGAGGATTCCTTCTTGGGCATCCATTTCAAGGATTTATACGGATCTACATTTGCGTGAAGGCTTCCGGCGGAAAGGGACTTGCAGGCAGCATTTCTTTCAACAATAATTCCAGTACGAGGAGCCCTTCGAGTATGCTCCGTGTTGCCCTGAGATGACACAAGTCAATCCAACGCTGCAAAAATATCCCTGTGTGTGAGTGTATTTTGCGTCCATTTGAAGGAGCAAACCCCTGCCACCTCCCAAGACCATGTCATATTATCTTTCCGGGGCATCTTTATGGCCAGCAGTGCAGCAGGGCTGGGCCAGCCGATTGGAATGCATGGATCGACGTTCTTCGAGGATCGGCCCATTTTGGGCGTCCCTTTGAATCCACGCACCGAGTGCACGCCCTGGCCTGGTGAGCCCCAGGCTCTGAATGCCCGAGGCTCTACTCCATGGCGGTGCCCATCTTTATGCCCTCCAGGGAGACGATGCCCCTCTACGTGAGCCAGGCGCGGTTGAGGTAAGAAGCACCTGGCAGGATCTGAGAAGCTGCACCAGGAAAGCAGCAGCCAGCCACAAATGAATATGATATTTGAACAGGGGTAAAGAAGATTCGAATCTCCATACAAGGCTTTTTGGGTATGTGAAACAGTTAGTTGCTTCAGCTGCCAGCGAGCCTCGGAGAGATTTTTTCACATATGAAGGCTTTTTGGGTTCCACGTGAAGAACGGTTTGGCTTCTGCAAGCGAATCTGGATTCGAGAAGTTCCTCCAGTCTCCGCGAGGACTACTCGGTGTGCCCGGACTTCGAGGGGCATCGGGTGGGCCACGCGCCCCAGCGGGTGCATCCCCACTCGCCCTTCGATACGGACGACTGGGCCGCCATGACGCGCCCAGACTTGAGAAGAGGAACATGCGGATTGGGCTGGGTGGGGTGGGTGGGGTTGGGTGGGGTTAGGTGGGTGGGGTGGGTGTGGTGCGTTGGGTGGGCTGAGGCGCGGGGAGGTGGCAGTGGTAGAGTGGCCAGGGGTTATTCGACTGATGAACTGGATCTGGGGGCATGGCTTTGCGTCTCTCAGCCAGTTTGGTTTGTACTTGTTTCGTTGGCCCGTTTTTTGTCGACCGTTCCTGTTGCTAGTGGCTAGAGCTGCTTGAGGTCGGGAGAGAGTATCTCCAGCATCCAAGCATTTGATGGATTCGGGATGGCAAGAAAGCAAGCACGACAAAGGTCTGATTGATACAGCTGAAGAGGTAGACATCGGTGTGGAGCACAATTATCCCCAGTATATACTGGCACGTTTGGAGATGGAGGGGTTGCTGCTTGCAGCAAGCAATTGTGATAATCGAATCACGATTCTAATGATGACAACATACTTTAGCTAGCCAACATCCGCTTCCTTACGCTGGTTGTAGCTTCAGGGAATACAGGAATGAGGAGAGCTGTAAACAGAAGGTTATAAACCACAGGTTTGGCCCTAGGACCAGTTGGGATTCATCGAGCCCACAGCGTAGATTCTTCTGTCTAGACTTACATGCTTTTTCAACATGGTGTCAGCTGGTCATGTGCTTGATTTTGCAGCGAGGTTTGGAGAGGATGGGTTTCTCAGGTATTGGACGTCCTTCACTGACTACTTGACTATGCCGCATGTTATCCACTTTGAGTCGGTGCCGAACTTGATCACGCCGGGGGCTCAGGTCAGAGCAGCGCCCAGAGCAGTTTGAAGGCCCGCGCTGACCCAAGTAAGGTCACTAACCACCTAGACTCAGAATGCGAGGGTTTGGCTGGCTTAAAGAGCAACATCATATCTTCCACAAACATGCACACACACACAAACTTGGCAGCATTTAGACCAGTGGCACATTCCCGCATTTTCACGTTTGGAGTTCTGAAGTCGGATTGCCTAGAGACATCAGGCAACCAACCGCCAATTTCAGGCTGAGACAGCTGCCACCCTGAACCATTCTTGGGCTGTGGCTTTCGGCCCCAACAAAAATATTGCAATTGGTGGTCATGGACCTCTGTCCGCTCACAGAAAGACATGACGTGCATTGGACACAACAGTCCTTCAACTGGCTCGAGCTGCTGGCAAGCTACTGGCACCGCCATGGAGGGCGCGGCTAGCCTGTGGGACTACTTCAAATCGGTTGCGGACGCCAGCCACGGGTACATCCACCTGGAGGATGGTGCGGCCATCGCCACGTTGGCGGCGTTCCTGGAGCTGGACGCGGACTTCTTGACCGAGCAGCTGGAGACTGTGGACCAGGACCACAACAAGTACATCACCTTTCCCGAGTTCGCCTTGTGGGCGGATCGCCACACTCTGAGCGTTCGCATGGGCGTGGGCCATATTCCGGAGAAGAAGCTGTGGCGGGTCGGCATGCCGGGGCACTGGACCACCATTCCTCCCCCTCCTCCCGAGGTGGAGCCGCAGATCGTGGGCGCGCGCGGGACCATGCAGCTCGACCAGCAGCAGGTGCAGCAGGCGCATCGCCTGCTGGACCTGGCGAAGAAACGGCGCTTCGAGCTGCTCCTCGGGGAAGTGGAGGCCTGTGACCCGGCGGTTCTGAACCTTCGCCCGGAGCCGCGGGAGTTCGGGCTCGTCCACCACGCCGCCTACTGGGGCCAGGTGCCAGTCCTGGAGAGGCTGTTGCGCGCCAGGGCAGACGTGCTGCAGCTGACAAGGAGCAACCAAACGGCTCTGGACGTGGCACAGAAGAAGAACCGGGAAGAGGCTGTGGCCTTCTTGCGCGACAGGATCCGGCCGGACGCGGCCGCCGAGCAGATGGCGCTCCGCAAGGCCCACGAGGCCCTGGATTTGGCCAAGGAGGGCCGCTGGCCGGAGCTGTACGAGATGCTTCAGGCGGATGCCCGGCTGGCGACGCTGCGCCCGCCGGAGCGCAACTACGGGCTGCTGCACCACGCCGCCTTCCGCGGGGACTTGGAGGCGCTGCAGCGGCTCGCGGCCCTCAAGGCGGAGCTGGGCTCGCCGAGCAAAGGCGGGCAGAGCGCGCTGCGTGTGGCGCTGGACCAGGGGCATTGGCACGCGGCTCAATATCTGGAGGCGGCCATGCCCGTGCTCCACCTGCAGGATGAGTTCGTATCGTTTCCGAGCCCTGAGCTCGTGGCGGTGGACGACCCTCAGCTGCTGGGCACCTTCAAGTTGCTGCTCCAGGGCACGCACAAGCCCAGCGAAAACTGGACACGGGACCGAGCCATGGCCACAGATGGCGTGACCTATTACAAGAAGACCCCTGTACCGGACGGGTACGAGTTTCAAGGTGCCATGCGCAACGAGAATGCGGCCCTGTGGCGCATGTATCATATCTGCCGGGAAGTGCTGAAAGAGCAGTGCCAGGCGCCTGAGACAAACCCCAGCTTCAAGCCATGGGACGCCTGGACATCTCGCAACAAGAGCTGCAGTTTCTCGGGCGAGCTGGCTTTGGAGAGGCTCTGCAACGAGTGGCTCCTCTTCCACGCGGGGGTTCCCGAGGCCCTGGCAGGCATCTGCAAGACGGGTTTCAAGATGGCTAAAGTTGCGAAGGGAGCTGACAGCGAAGGCGGCGGCCTATATGGTGAAGGCGCCTATTTCACGGACTCCATCACCAAGGCGGACGAGTATGCCCGAAGGAAGGTGGCATCTGGAGACTTCGCCGGCTGTAGATCCGTTGCGCTTTGCCGCGTGCTGGGTGGGTGTCACTACTACACAGCCAACGACGTGGCGCAAGAGGAGAAGGCGCAGATGATGATGAGAGTCTTTCAAGGCATCCATCACAGCGTCATTGGCGACAGGCTGAAGCTCAAGAAAACCTACCGAGAGTACGTGATCTATGCTGCAGCGCAGGCATACCCCGAGTACATCCTATTCTACAAGCGGAAATTTAAAGATCCGGCTAAAGAAATTTATGCGTAGATGCTGGCACGACGGCTGTTGCTGTGACTTCCATGTGCAAAAGAAAAGTCCTTGGACTTTGGGTTGTCCCATGGCCAGAGCCATCCAGGGCTTTCCGACAATAGCTGATGCTGGTCGCCTTTTTCAGGGTTTAAAAGTGGCCCCCTTGGGAACTACACAACGCGACGAATCCCTTCGGACGCACAAGTTATGATAGCATGCTTTCTCGGAATAGTACAGAATGGATCATTTGCCATGTTGGTCAACAAACTATGTGCCTTTGACTTCCACAGCAGGCTTGAGAACACCGCAAGTGACGTCTTTGCCCCCTGTGTGGATCGTTCTCCCTACAAAACTAGCCAACAGAAAAAAGAAAAAGAACGATGTGAATTCTCCGCTGTTTCTGCTAGAGGTCCAGCTTCGTTGATCGGATATTTGTCCGAGCCCGCTGTGTTGTCAACCTGAAGCCTTTGCCTTGTGCTTGGGCCCCAAAACAGGTGAGCCACAATCAAAGCCCGCGCAGACCAAGGATAGTAAGGGATTCTCCCAGCCACAAATGGGCGTGGCCGCCTTTCAAGTTTGTTTACTTGGTTTTGGGCAATTCGACAATCTTAATGCATGATTTAGATTGTGACTCAAACAGGGCTCCTTAAAAGATACATCTTGCCCAGTTGAAACCTGGCTGTTTCCACCAACACACCGGAAAAAGGCGCCATTGGCAAGGTTCAGGTGTATGCATCCGGATCCCTGTGGTCTCGAAAGGGCGTTGTGCGCCTTCCGGCTGCTCGTTCGCCTCGGGCGATCCTCGGGCGATCCGCAGGAAGATCAGCGGCCACGACCTGCGGGAGGTCAGCCGCGCCATGCGCCGGGAGCACGCGACGACCTCGGGGCTGGCGCGCCGGTTCACCTTACATGGGTCTGAGTCTGTGTCTGTGTGTTTGTGTGTGTGTGTGTTTTAAGGGTAGCCTTTTCACCTCGGCAAAAGGGAAAACACCCACAAAAATGCAAACACACACACAGACACACAACGCCACGCGCGTGCACGCGAGCACGAACGCTGTTCTCAGACACTCCCACGCACCCACGCACGCACATGCACACACACACACACACACGAACACGCGCAAACGCGCACAGACGCACCCACCCACACACACACACAGCTCTTTTTAAAAGCAACACTCAATCTTTTGGTTCCCATGTTTTGACACAGACCTTCATGCTTAATTAGCGTCTTTGGCTGTGGGACCATCTTGCCTGTGCAGGTTGCTCCACCTGCAAGATAGGGGGTGATCATGTTGTTTCTCTTTGTGCAGATTTGCAGAGGCACTCAATGGAATAGAATGTTGATAGGCCATGACATAGTTGCTGCAGACTCGACTTCAGGCTTTATTGATAGTTCATCACTCCTCTCTGCGATTCCCAACCATCAACATGAGAGCTTCCAGTACTTGGTGCTTCGCAGACTGACATGTTGGACATGTGAGCTGAGACTGTCTGGATAAATGCTCTTCACTGCATCTGCTTGGAGCCCTGCCTTGTATATCCTGATGCTGGAGCTGCGAGCCCCAGTGACTCCTCTCGGCAAGAGGCCGCCGAGCGTGGATCCCATGGTCTGTTTCCTTTTTGCTCTTTTTCTTCTTCTTCTTTTGGATTTGGTGTGTGTGTGTCTTCCTTGTTTTCCATTGGCCACGATCCTTCCCCCTTGGAGCTGTGGATAGGCCTGCTGCTTCCGGCCTGACTCCAGTTCGACTGCACTCTCCTTATAGTCCTTGCAGCTCTCGAACAGGTTCAGCATACTCGGGGAAACTGACCGTCAGTTTTTAGGTTCCTACTGGAAGAGCTTGGTGGCTCTTTGGTTCGCCCTATAACCCACGACCTTTTGCTAAACCATTTTGCTCGCAGCCTTGGACTTTCTCTGGTTCAAGCTACAAACTACCCTGGAACGCCTCTAACCTTTGGCTTCCCCGTTTTGCCAGCCGTTCGACTGGGGGTCGACGAGCCAGCGGCAAGCCTCTCCTCGATCTCAGATGAAGCACCTCGGGCTGGCCACGAGCTTCTGGACCGAGGCGCGTGCCATCAAGCGCCCAACGCCCGAAGCGGAAGCTTTGGAAGGCGGCGGTCCCACCCAAAAACGTCGGGGCAGATGTATCTTCTGGTCTCTAAAAGGGTCCTTTTTTTTGCAAGAAAGGCCGGGCCCATGTGCGCCCAAACCCCAACGGGCCATTTTGGCCCATGGTGTTACTTGGTTTTGTGGGGGTGATGGTAAGGTAAGGCCCATATAGATTTGGTAGCCATGTTGGTACATCCTCCCTCTCATAATAGACATTGGTTTGAGGTCTGGTTTGGGGTTCTAGGGGCTTCCACTTCCCCTTTGCTAGGCACATCCATCAACATATGTCTCAATGAGTTTGCCCAGATGGTCCAGATCGCGTTTCAGCAAATCACAATTCGAAGGACGCGTTGCATTGGAATTTGCAGTTAGGATTGGAACCCAAGTATGAATTCAAGATGGCAGTAAATCGGGCCCAGCAAAAAAATGAGGGGGGCTGGGAAGCATAGTGATATTTATACCAACTAATTCAGCAACAACAGCCAGGCTGAGTTTGGGGTGTTGGTCGAGCTAGATCTCCGTTGAGTTTAGGCGCTGCAAAACATGTTTGTGCGCAAAGTTGTGAACAGAGGTTTAGCGTCACGATCAAGCGTAGAACTTTGTTTGCATCCTGCGCTTCCAATCCTAGAGGTGGAAAAATCACTCGAGCGGCTTGTTTTGTAGTTGTTCGCTTTTAGACCAAGCTGAACGTATGGGGCTGTCTCCATACGATGCTCTTTTCCCGAAGCTCACCCGCAGTGTTCCCTCTGCGCTCTTTCCTCTTTCAAACTCCAAACTGCAGTGTGGTTCTCTCACTGACTGAGTGTGGATTTGTGTTTTGTTTGGTTAGCCAGCCATCGAGCAATCCTCTCAACGAGCAAAACTAGGCTATGCCTGGCTGCAAGGCACATGCGACACTTGAACTACAGCCAATGGTTGAGTAAAATCCGGAGCGCTTTCTACGAGACATGCCACGAAGAGAGCAGTTGTAGGCACACCGAAGCGTCCTGATATGTTTGTGATGTAAGATTTCATTGCATGACCTTTGGGGGGGGAGCGGGAGGTTCTGCTCAAAAAAAACAGCAGGCCTATCTCCCAAAATCCACTTGGACAACAGTTCTCCCTGGCTTCAAATTGGATGCGCTCTTTATAAATGAAGCCTGTTGGGGGAAAACAAAAGCAACAACTATGTGGTTTCAGATCGAGGGATGGCGAGGGCAGAGGGTGGTGCGCTGGGGTCTCATGCTTCTGCCTTGTTGTTGCGCTTGATGCTTCTTATGTATGCATGCAGCTCAAGCAGCAGTTGTGTCTGGGTAGTGGTCGGGTTTGGGCTGCGGTTTGTGAATCCATGCTTGAAAGAAGTGAATGCCTATTGCATTCTGGGGCCATGTGCCCTGTGTCTGGGATGCTTCCTTCTCTTCGACTGGGGAGTCTGTGCTGTGCTCTGCGTGAATCCACCGTGTGGCTGGGGTTTGCGGCTATTCACACAGTGAAAAAGGTCGTGTTCCGCACTGCAACATGGGCCCAAAAGCAACCCCTGCCACTCCCCAGAACGAATCGTCAGCGTGGCGCGCTGGCCGTATCCCAGACCACCCCTACCACCCCGAGCTGGCGGCGCAGCGGGATGTGGTCGCCTTGGGGTCAAGCTGTCGATGGTCTTCCATCTGGGATCCTGACAAACGTTTGGCCTGACGCGGTGCTATCAGCGTTGAACCGGATGCATCGACGAGAGGCGCAGTCACCGGTCCTTTGAACGGGCAGATGACCTATGTTTCCGTGGTGTCAATCAGCAATCAAGGCAGTGTGTTGGCTGGTTGCGCGTGCTTCCGCGGGTCATGTGTGCAAAGCGAGATGTAGTTGGAGGTGCGATTCGCGAGCAGCTGGGGGTGGGCACGTCGTTCTGCGGAAGGACATGGGGCACTCATTCAATTGCCAGCAGCAACTCGAGGACGAAGCCCCGATTTTCCCGTGCTCATTCGGGAAAGAGAGGCAGATTTTCACTGTGGCTCATGCGTTGCACGGCCGTTCACCGCCTGCTCATTTGGCAAAATACTTCCCTCCATTTGATCACGGTTATGTGTTGTTTTTGTCCACCACATGCCGATTTAGCTCAAAAGAAAGACCTTGGACATGTGAGTTCTTCCTCCAAAAAAGGTGTAGAACAAAGGATCACCCACCCAAGACGCAGAACCATTGGCGACCTCCAACAACCTAGGCGCCCCAATTGGCCCTTCCAGGCACTGGATTGACGCGATCCATGCGAGGCCTTGGAGCGGGTGAGCCGTCTTCGGGGCATGGAGCCGACCAAGGGCGCCACCGCCCAGGCGCCGAAAGGGAAACTGACGGAATAAAAATTCTTCATAGATTTTAGAAACAAATGGGTCTGTGTCAAAACGTGGGCGCTCTTTTTTAGCCAGTTTGACCGGAAGCCCAACTGAAGCCAACGATCGGAGGGCCCTTGCCCCCGACAGCTACGCTTGGAGATGGCTGCTCGCCCATACACATTGCAAGCTAGTCCCAGAAAGGCCACCAGCATGGAAACAAATGCAGAATGAGGATCAGGTTCCGCTCATCTTTGACAAAGGCTCGGTATGAAACTTGTCGTTTCGGGTCGACACCGTCGGCCAAAGAAGACACTCTGTTTGCTCGGTGCTTGCGGGCGAACAAAGAAGGGCAAATGTCATGCAGCATACACACACACACATGTGTGTGTGTGAACCGTCCTGGAACACGGACGTTAAACCCTTCGGAGTTTTTCTGAGCAGGGGGGCAACGGACACTCTGGGTCGCGTTGCCCAACGAAGACCGTCCAGAGTTGTCGTGAAGCAACACGGGACGCCGTGCTGTGTACCTGCAACATTTGATTGACTCTGAAGGTCTTTTTGACCCTCTTCTTTTGCGGTTCCTGTTTGTCGCTGTTGCTTCCTGTTCGGTGTCGATGTTGTGACCTGTTGCTCTGCATTTGCATTCAAGCATTTTTACTGACTGCGGTTTTCATCTCGGCTAGTGAAGCCTCTCGAGATAAGTGTGTTTCCCACGGCCTGTCCGACATGGCGCTGTGGGCTGGACTCGCCATATGCGGGAGCCCCCTGCAAGGGGATGACGTTCAAAAGTTCACGTTCAGTTCACCTTCGCATTGCACTGCCTGCCTTTTGAACGAGGCAGCTCTCATGAAATATCAGGCTCCAGCAGCTTCATTCGGATTGCACTGCCTGCCTTTTGAACAAGGCAGCTCTCATAAGGTATCACGCTCCGGAAGCTTCATGCGCGAGTGACAAGCCGGTCAGACACCGACTTTGCAGTTCATTGATTCACGCACTGCGCCGACTCAGATCAGTTCAATTCACGTTCACGATTAGGTGACACCTTGACTTGATTTGACACCTTGACTTGATTTGACGCGATGTCTTGCCTTGACACGCATGACTGAATCTGCTGCAGTCGTTTTTGTTTCCACCCCCTTTCCAACCCTCTCTCTCCCTTTTGAGATGGCTTTTGTCAGGATGATGGCATACAGCGAGGTCCCTGCGCTGCGCCCAGCTGGCCGAGTGTTGGGCAATCTGGGGGACGACATCCTGTCCAAGATAGCGGAGTGGGCACCATCGTGGAGACCGGCTCCGATGACGGGCGCTTCATGGCCGTGAGGGGCCCCATCACCCTGAGAAACCTGCGCTATGACATGATGCACTCGCTCCTGCAAAGCATTGCGGCGGCACCGTGTCCGGCTCACCTGGCAGCGGTGGACCGAACCTGCAGTTGTCACCCCAGATGATGCAGCCCATGAGCCTCGTACCCTCAACCAACCCACAGACCACGCCCTTTGCACCGTTTCCCATGATGCCCTATGGTGGCCTCCCGAACTTTGGCAACCCGATGTCCGTGATGCCCTACGGTGGCTTTCCTAACTTTGGCAACACAACGTCCGGCGCCCTGATGCCCTTCATGGCTCAGAGCAGCATGCCATCTTCATTGCCCGAGCCTCAGCCGGCACGCGCAGCCGATGCAGCTGCTACGACTCCTGCCGCCGCTTCCTCGACCAACCCACATCCCACGCACACTCACCCCCAGTCCCACTCCCACAGATCAGCGCTCCCGTCACAGACGACACACCAGTCATCACCGTGGACACGACAAGTCGCCACGGCGACACAATACCCGGCGGGCACGCAGCTCCAGCCGGTCACATTCCCCCTCACGACCCCACCACCGCTCCAAGCGATCGCACCGCAACCCCATCTCCCTCCGCTCACGCTCCCCCCGGCGCAGGTCCTCCCCACGACACTCCCCCGCACCCAGGACCACGGCTCCACATCGAGCCCCGCAAACCCACACCTCCCAAGGTTCCACTTCCCGGCGCACTTCCGGATGGGACACCGGCAAGTCTCAATGGTCCTCCCCACGCTGGTGGAACCAATCGTGGGGCCCACCGCAGAGCCACAGCACAAGCCACTGGGCTGGGGGGTGCTTTGGTATGTGCTTTTGTGCTTTTGGTTTTCGGTTGGCTTGATGCCTCCCAAAGCTGCACTGCTCCAGTGAACCCAGCACGTCCATACCGAGTTTTCTGTGGTCGGACCTTGTGTACTGATAAAACTTGGCCTCGACCATGTTTTACTCAAAGCCTATGTTTTACTGGCGGCCCATTGTCGCTCAAGCTGCCAAACACCGGCCTGTATACATATATATATATAGTCTATACTATGCAAATATAGAGCGCGCCCCTTCCCACGCCAATCCTCCTCTCCAGAAGAAAAATGAAAAGGAGGGTTTGTGTAGCCCCCCCCCCTCCCCCTCCACCCCCTACTTTAGTAGGGCGGCTGAAGTGTCAGCTCTTGAACACTCTTTGCTTGGGCGCTCACTGCAGCAAATAAACAAAGAAAATAGGGATTGTATCCCCTTTTTGGGATGTTTTTAAAAGGAGGATCAGGATGAGACAGTGCTGTAAAAAAGAGGGACCCGGGAAGAGGACCCGGGGGCCCTGTGACAGTCTTCCCGGGCCCCTCTTTTAAAAAATGCCTATGTTGGACTATGTCAAACCATGTTATCCCTTTTTGTTTGGCTTTCCAAGTTGAACATTTAAGTTTGCAAAAAAAACATCCATTTTTGAAGCCAGTCGCTTTGCCTAAGCCGAGCTTACACGTTGAAAGTTCAGTTTCCTGCAGCCTGGCAACTTTCAAGCAATTCACACCTGCCCCACTTGATTTTCCACGATTTCATTTTCACTTGTTCAGATTCAAGCCAACATGCGTCATAAGACATATGAATTCAACATGCTGACGCAATCCACCATGATTTCTCCGCCGGTCGGGTCCCACGCGCGCCATTGCCACTAGGCTGCATTAAGGTGGTGGGGGGGGCAGGGCGGACAAACAACTGGGATCTTATGGATTGTTTATTTTTTTAGGAAGACCCTTCGCACACCCGAATTGGTGCTGTGTAAGCGCCAGCAGCTGGTGCTGGGTAAGCGTCGTCGCTGGGTGCTGCATAAGCGCCAGCTGATGGTGCTGTGTAAGCGTCATCGCTTGGTGCTGCACAAGCGCCAGCAGATGGTGCTGGGTAAGCGCCATCTGCTTGGCGCTGCATAAGCGCCAGTGCATGGACATCATGGAACCAGCAATTATTTTTGGGGACATCATGGAACTAACGTCATGGAACATGAAACATCATTTGTTAGCGCTTTTTCAGCACTCATCTTAAGTATTGATACAGTCAGTTTCGAACGCAACCAAACTTGATGGCAGTGGGAACCAGAATGCAAAACAACGAAATCATTTGCAATCCAAGACATTGAAGTGAAGTTTGCAATACCAGGGGATGCGCATCTTGATTTTCAGCTCAAGAAGTAATTACATAGAATTGGGGGGCGCGTCCGCAGCACCATGCCATTTCTTTATGCCATTTCTTTAGAAGAAAAAACAGATGTTCGTAAACACACGCTTACTTACCATCAACCCATTTGAGGATGATTGAACAACTGTTTGGTATGGATGATTGAACAAATTTGACGTTGAAGCGGTTGGCCAAGAGAGGAGCCGAAGACCCTTCATTGAGGCAACTATTCACAGTACGCGAACCCTATTCTTAGAACCAACTTGTATGTTCATGAACCCTTGAATTTTCATCATTGCGTGCCATGTGAAGGGCGCAGCCCGATGATTGCGGGGCCGTTGTCATTGATTGACATGGGTCATTCGTACAGTCATTATAGAAAACATGCCCATCTTAACCCAAACAAGATCCAAAAACCTGCATTTTTGGGGAGTGTCAAAGGTCCCATCCAGCGACCCGTCCCGGATTTTGGCACTCATCTTGAGGGGTTGCCATCTGGCACCCCCGTGAGGGTGCCAGATTTGGAAAGATTTCTGTCTGTTAGTGAACTGTCAAACCAGTTCATCTTTTGGTGCAATCCACAAGTTGGGCACAAATGCAGCTTTTAATATGGGAAAGACACCTTGTCCAGATCAAGAAATCCACATGTTTGAGGCTTCCGTGGACCTAGGCATGAATAACCCTGCAAAAATCAGAGCCCCAAAAAGGTCCATGGTAGTTCGAGGGTGAAAAACCCTGCATTTTTGAGGCTTTTGTGGACCCAGGGCTAAATAACCTTGCAAAAACCATGGGATTTTGGCAAAGCTTAAAATAGTCTTCGGGGGCCGCCTTTAGACCCAAAAGGCGGCCGGGTTACAAACAGCTTCCCGCATCCATTGCCGCAAAAAAAATGGCAAACAGTTGTTTTTTTTGGATGCCTTTCCACGCCCTCCTCACGCCCAAACTCCGTCTCCAGACCGGGCCCAATTCAAGCCTCAGGCCCAAGCCTCAAAGCGGTCCGTCTCCAGAATTCAAGCCTCAGGTCCAAGCCTCAGGGCGGTCGTGTGGTCTCATGCGGATTTGATGCTTTCAGGTCCACACGCAGGTGCTGAAGAAGCGCCCCCATTCAAACAAATCGTGAGATTAATTAGCCCGAAATGACAGCTTGCTGCAGTTACGGGGCCAAGCGTGTTGCGTGATGGCAAAATGAAAAATGACCGCAATATGTTTTTTGGAGCATCCTGTTACTTTGTGTTCCGGCCCCCCACTGTGCTACTGTTTAGCAATGGCGGCTTGTTCCACTGGCGCAGCGCCTACTGTTGCCCTGGTTCTTCGCCCTGAGTGGGCGCAGAAGGTCTTGGATGGCAGCAAGACACTTGAGCTGAGGGGTTCCGCAACAACAAAGAGATGCAAGGTGGCCGTCGCTGTGTCTGGGACCGGCTGTTTGGCCGGAGAGGTTCGGATTACCGACTGCATTTTGATTGCCGAGCGCAACAACGAGACCGGACTCTACGAGGAT